TATAGTGGAGGAATGTCTTTATTATATTGACCATCTTCTTCAGTAGATTTACAAGGTATTTGCTGAGCAGCTTGTTGCTATTCCTTGTTTTGTCTGCACAACGTCCGCTAGTGGCAACAGAAATTGCATGACTACATGAGAGACTAGGTAACTGTGAGTGAGATCACATTATCCTTGAGCAAAAACACTAGCTTTACAAAGTTAGCTAGGAGAATTACAATTGATAATTTTTGATCTGTCAATTGAGTTACGGAAAAATAACAGCTAACCCAAAATGAACAGAAAATTTTAGAAAAAATACAGAATTTTGGACTTCTGTCTTCTCTTGAGGATCTCAAAATTCATGAAGAGAGCTTTACAGTGTCCCTGTGAGAGGCATATCAGTGTTGTCCTTGTACAGTTGAGAAAGTGAGGCAGAGAGGGCTTGTGAATTATGTAATGTTTTTCAGGAAGGCTAAAGCAGATCCAGGAATAGAATCTAGTTGTCTGATTTCCAGAGTGATGCTTTAGTCCTGGGACCCCCTTTCTTCTTTGCATGGCTATTTATTGCAGTTCTGTCAGAAAGGCCGTTTCCATGTAAAATGGAATGTTATTTTTGCAGCTGTGGTGCCAGAGTATAGAACAACTAGACTAAGGTTTTTTTAAGCATATTGTTTATGAGACCAGCAAAGTCAACTTTACTCCACAAATTTTCACAGAATGTTCTGCCTGCAAAAGTAGATTTATAAATGCCAGGTTGTGTTCAAGTCATGCAGAAGTTCAAGGGAATTTAGTAAATATTGGAAATGGAAGAGCAACCTCAAGATTCAGTGTTTATGTTGGCAAAAGAATATTAATTTTGTTATATTATGTCCTCTTTTAGAGTGTGAATGTTAGGGAGGGATAGGAAATATAGAAAGACAGAAATGGAGGAATGTTTAGAGATGCTAAACAGGACTTTAGTGAATCTAATTTAACTGCTTGCAACCAGGATGATGATATGGTGATGATCCCTGCATGATGATATGGTGATGAATGGGTTGCATCTTCTGGAGACACAATCTGGACACAGCTTTCTGTTCTGTATTGATTTTTCTTGGAACACCATTTGATTAGGTTGGATGGATTGCTGTGTTGCTTATCCAGTAATAGGAAGTCCCTGCATGATGATATGGTGATGAATGGGTTTCATCATTTCCCTCTCCTTCTTTTACAAATTGCTGTTGTTTGTTTGTTTTTTTTTTTTTTTTTTTTTTCCCCTTTCTTGGTCAGCTATCCTACTTCTGCTTATTTTTGTGAGTTATTCTCCAGTTGTACCAGTGTCAAAGGCTACATTGCGACTAGCAGGTTGAGGGAGGTGATTCTGTCTCTCTACTCTGCTTTGGTGAGACCCCACCTGGAGAAAGGCTGAGAGAGCTGGGATTGTTCACTCTGGAGAAGAGAAGGCTCTGGAGACACCTTATTGTGACTTTTTGGTACTTTAAAGATGCTTATAAGAAAGATGAGGACAGAAATTTTAGTAGGATCCATTGTGATAGCACAAGGAGTAATGGTTTTAAACTAAAAGAAGGTAGATTTAGATTAGATATAAGGAAGAATTTCTTACACTGAGGATTATGAAACACTGGCACAGGTTGCCCAGAATGGTGGGAGATGCCCCCTCCCTGGAAACATTCAAGGTCAGGCTGGACAGGGCTCTGGGCAATCTGATCTAGTTGAAGATGATTCTGCTCACTGCAGGGATTGGACTAGATGACCTTGAAAGGTCCCTTCCAACCCAAACCATTCTATGATTCTTTGATACAGTGTTGAAACCCTTTGCAGATTCACCTGGAAACATATCTCCCATCTTAGATTTCCTTCTGAAAAAAATGCACTTTAACATAATAAGATAAATAAAATTAATATAATTAAGAAAGTTATGGCTTCACTTTTAAGCCAACTCATATTATATCCACTATAGATACACAAGATTTTTTTAGTCAATAATGTTTCAGTTTGCTTCATGGCCAAATTATTAGATGCTTCAGAAGACAAAAGAGGCTTTTTAACAGTTTCCTGGTTGTCACTGAGAGTCGTGGTAATGAATACTGTATGCAAAAAATGGCTGTTACACTCCTCTTCAACAGGAGTTATGCCAGAATTTAATCATGGGCATGAGGTCAAAAGGTTTCAATGTTTTATTTACTAAATTGCTCTTTAACAGTTCTGCAGCACAACTAGCAGCCAGTGCCTAGATCTCAGGAGAACACCACCTTTGTTGTTCACCAATACTGTAATATTTTCAGTTTGCAATACAGGGTGAGAGTTCTAATATGTTGTTATATTTATTTGCAAGGCATCCTCACTTGCCCACTGCAGAGGTTTCTGCTTTGTAGCTGGGTGACAGGTTTATTATGGCAACTTAGCCTATGTCCTGGCTACATTTGTGGTTACTTTCAGAGAGCTTTTTATCTGCTGCTGTAGTTCTTCTGTGAGTATTAGCAGCATATTTTTGATGTATATGATTTTATTGCAATTATGTTATAATTATACCTTCAGTTAGCAACTCTTCCTTTAACATACTGTTTTAATATAGGAAAGCCTATTACTCTGGCCATAAGTGTGACTCTATTCAGACTTTAGAGCACTAGCATATGTGTCATAATATCATCTTATGAGACTGAGTTGTGCCAGGCTTGCTTCAGGAATGAAAGGAAATTGTGATCAATTAGGGCTGCAAGACTCTCTTCTGTGATGATCCTCATGACCAAGAAAAGTCAGTGTTACATTAGCCTGTGCCATTGCCTAGGAAAACATTTCAACAAAAAAGTGAAAAGGATATGTCTCTAGTGCCTCTAACAGTGTTGATGGATAAAGGAAGAGTAACAGATGTCATCTACCTGGATTTATGCAAGGCATTTGACACTGTCCTGCATGATCCTTGCCTCTAAGTTGGAGAGACATGTACTGGATGGATGGATCAGTTGGTGGATAAAGAATTGGCTGGATGATCACACTCAAAGAGTTGCAATCAACAGCTCAATGTCCAAGTGGAGACTGGTGATGAGTGGTGTCCATCAGGGGTTTGTATTGGGACCGGTGTTGTTTACCATCTATGTTGGTGACATGGACAGTGGGATTAAGTGCACCCTCAGCAAGTTTGCTGATGACACCAAGCTGTGTGGTTTGGTCGATGTGCTGAAGGGGAAGGCATGCCATCCAGAGGGACCTTCACAGGTTTGAGAGGTGGGGCCGTCCTGCACCTGAGTTAGGGCAACCCCAAGCACAAATACAGGCTAGGCAGAGAATGGATCGCTAGCAGCCCTGAGGAGAAGGACTCAGGGATGCTGATGGACAAGAAGCTCAACATGAGCTGGCAATGTGCACTCACAGCCTGGAAGGCCAACTGTATCCTGGGCTGCATCAAGAAGCGTGGCCAGCAGGTCAAGGGAGATGATTCTGTTCCTGTACTCTGCTCTGGTGAGACTCCACCTGGAGTACTGCATTCAGTTCTGGGGCCCCTATCATAAGAAGGACATGGACCTACTGGAGCGAGTCCAAAGGAGGGCCACAAGGACAATCAGAGGGCTGTAGCACCTTTCCTATGAGGACAGGCTGAGAGAGTTGGGGCTATTCAGCATGGAGAAGAGAAGGCTTAGGGGAGACCTTCTAGGAGCCTTCCAATACCTGAAGGGGGCCTATAGGAAGACTGGGGATGGACTTTTTAGAAGGGGCAGGTAGTGATAGAACAAGGGGTAATGGCTTTAAACTGGAAGAGGGTAGATTTAGATTAGATATTAGGAAGAAATTCTTTACTGTGAGGGTGGTCAGACACTGGAACAGGTTGCCCCAGGGAGGTTGTGGCTGTCCCCTCCCTGGAAGTGTTCAAGGCCAGGTTGGATGAGGCTTTGAGCAACCTGGTCTAGTGGAAGGTGTCCCTGCTCACAGCAGGGGGGTTGGAACCACATGATCCCTTCCAACCCCAACCATTCTATGTGTCTACACATAGATAACATTTCCCAGCTCCACAGAGTAAAGGAACATTACCTTGTAGTCTTCCTCAGCAAAGAGCACTGAAGGGGAAAATCTCACTCTGGGGCAGACTTATTAATATTACCTTCAAGACCAGATGCAATGGATCTTCAAATACAAATCTTAGTTCATCCTTTTTGGTGATTTGGACTACTGGGGCAATGTTGGTGTTAATTGTCAGTTTTTTTGTTTGTTTGCTTTTTGTTTTCATGCTAAACAGTACAAAATTAGTATAATGGTATAATAAACAACCATTTGTTCTTTTTTTCTCTGTGATTTTTTTTGTATACTACGAGCTTTCAAAACATAATTGAAAATGAAAGTGGTTAACCTTGCTTTTGTGCCTAGGTTCCTGCCATCAGCATTGCTCAAAAAACTTTCACAGCCCAAAACAAAGTGGTTCTTATTTCAGGGCTGCAGTATTCAATGTGACATAGTCATGTTTTATTGTTTAAATTTGCTGCAGTGTGGCGTCAGCACTTACAGAAACAGTTAACCCTGACACCAATGCACATAAAAATAGAAGACAAAGAAAAAACTGGGCCATAGGAGACTGGTAAGTAGTAGGAATAGTTAATAGGGCTCTGCTGATGGCAACTGTGTGGACTGCAAAATACATTATTTCATGCAGCAATGACTGAAGGTACTTCTTGTTATGGTATTTATCCAGAAATCAAGATTTACATTATAACACTACAAACTGTATTCAGTCAAGAGATCTAAAAACAGACTGAATTGTTCAAGCACTTCAGTCACTTTAAATAATACAATACTGAAGTCAATAAAATTACGCTTGCAGACTACTTTGTATGCTTTTGGTCAATTGCTCTGACATTCATTGTATATTAGGGCTTCATCTTCTAAAAAACCCCATTACTCTGGGTTATGTTAGCTGCACATTTAGCTTACATGCCCAGTATAAGAACGATTGCTAAAAGACAACATTATGATTTGTTACTAAAATCAAGGATTTTTTTTTTTTTTTTTTTTTTTTTTTGTCGTTACAGATTAATCTCGGAGATCTTGGGCAGCTGTATAAAATCCGCATTGGTCATGACAACACTGGAAATGATCCCAGTTGGTACTTGAAGGAAGTCAGACTTGAAAGAGTAGTCCCTCTTTCTGATGAACAGATTTGTCTTTCCGTAGACTGCTGGCTTGCAGAAGACAAGGGTGAAGGTGATACATGGAGAGAAGTGGCAATAAGAAACTCTGCAAAGGAGCTTTTGCCATGTATGTGCTGAGTATTGCAGATCATGTGTTCACTGGACATATCCTTTGAGTATATGTGAGCTTTTCATATTTCTTTCAGGGCAGACTGCCCCAAAGCCAGCATAACCATGAAACAATCTCTTCCAGATACTTTGTAGTTCCATAGAAGTAGGAAGTTTTCATTTTACCCCACTCCTTTCCTCCCCAAAATCAGAATAAAACCTGTGACCAGGGCATCCTACCCCTATAAAATTCTTGATCTCTCAGGGTGCTCCTAAATCACTGGCAAATACTGCTCTTCAGAGCAAGATGTTTTGCAGGAAATCAAGGCATATCAAGGTATGTAATGTAATGTGACATCCAGTTCCTTTTAGCAAGCTTGATATCATCCTTTCTTGTGCTGCATAAAGTATTCTTTACCAGAAATCCATGATCTGAATCATCACACACATTTTCCAAATCAGACTCAAGTCACAGCTCTTCACATGGAAATTGTTAGCTGCAGGGTAGCACTTTGATACTTTAAAGTTTACCACAGACTTAATGCACTTTGTTCTCTTCAAGTGAAGCAGGAAATAGCCCATCATATAAAGTTATTATTTAAAAAGTCCTGGGCCTCTATGAAGGACTAGGGAGCCAGTATAATAATTTAGTATGATTGGGTTTTTTAATAAAATTCTCTTTACATTAATAGAATGGCAACAAAGCAGATGATAGAAAATACTGCCTGACAATGTAGGTCTTGATAGGTGCTATCATTCAGGCAAACTGCATTCAAAATGAAGCAGTGAATGTTGCAAGGAATTAGTGATTCAACATAAAAAAGGGACATCATGCACTTAGTGACAATCAGATATCAAACAAGTGAAAACTGATCTCTTATTACAGAGGCCAGAAGATGCTGAGAACACATATGTGCCAGTTCACACTTCCCCTCTGTTCTTTTTTTAAAAAAAATTAAAAAAATTATTCTGCATAGTATTTACTGACTTCAATAGATTTCAAAAACTCAAACTGATAAGGATGAACCAGGCCCTGTGATCATTAGCGTATACCACAGTACCATATGCCACAGAAAAATAGTGCAGAAGTCAATTAAGTTGTATGAACAATTAATTCAACATCAATGACTCAAATCTGCATTATGCAGTTTGAAATACCCATTTGTACAAAAACATTAATATTCTGGTAAGTGACCTCTGTTTATGTACTTGTATGTGAAAAAACAAGTCAGTTCTATTAAAGCCTGGGAATATGTTTAAAATAATACATTTATTTACTTTGTAATCATTATATCACTGCATCTTTCATGATTTTGCAGGAACATTATCTTTATTAAAATATATGTCTCAAGTGTGTAAGAAAAGATACTTTAGAAAGGATTTGGAAATTTCCTGAAATTGTAAGTTTTACAAATTAATTATTGATTTTAGGCACATTTAAATTGAACATCAATATAAACTCAGCAAGGCTTCCTAAGAATTTCCTATTTAGTTTATCAAGAACAACCAAATTAAGCACTGCCATTTGCATTTCCCATTTAAAAGTTGCTTACAAGTACCAGACAAACCACACCAAGTCACTTTCTCCAGCAGAACAAATTAGGTACTACTTTTTACTTAATGATAATCTGATATGATTCAGTAATTTTTATCCTGTACTTTCAAATCAATTCAATCTGGTATCTTCGAGTGGTATTAAATTTGCTTAACTATAAGTGATGTGCTGGGAACTTTAAACAAAATGAACAAATATAAATTAAGCTCAGAAGGCACTGGTTTTTTAACTGCTGTTCTTTAACACTTACTTTATTGCTCAACTTTTCCCTTAGAAGAAAGGATAATTTTTTCCCTTATCCTTTTTTTTCCTTTCTCCAGCCAAACTCTACTATGCACCCAATAGAGACCTAAAACATTGAAGCTCATTTTTCATTCCTCGTCTTTCTCTTTTCCAGCTTCTCTTCTTCAAATCCTTAGTTATTTCCTGATTCTGTCAGTTTTTCTTTACCTTTCTCTCTGAAATCCCTTCTTTTTTCATCCAAATTTCTTACCTTGGTAACCCCCCTTAGTTTTTCTGACTGTCCTTCAACTACTTCAAAAAGCTGATACTAATCTGATCTCCTACTCCAAGTGATGCTTTCAGTCTCTCCATCACACCAGTTTCAAATTCCGTATGTAACTCAAGTTTCTTATGCCTCCAATGTATGTCTGCCTTCCCTTTTCTTATTTTTTTCCCCTTTGACAAGGCTTTTAGGTCTGTGGCTCCTTTTTCTCTTCCTATTCCATCTTGTCTTTTGCTTTTCCAGCCCTGAAGATTTAAAAAACCTAATCTCATCTGTCTTTGAAGTTGTCCCTGATTTGAGCATGCTGTTGAACCAGATGATCCCTGGAGATCTGCTATAACCTGGATTTTTAATGATTCTTCTACCCTGTCTCACTTTTTTCTAGTAGCTCCAGATATTTGTAGTTTACCAAACTTTACAAGAGTTGGATTGTTTATTTATTGCTCTTTTGATTTGGTTTCATCGCCTAGTTATGTTGTGATGCACAAAATCAAAGAAAAATTGTTCAACTATTTTCAAAGTGATAGGTATTGGAAATTAGTGATCATGTCCTGAACAGACCACCATACACACACACGCACACTTGTCTCACCCTTAGAGACACACATATACCTCAGCAGGTCTCAACCCTAGAGACATCCATACCACATGGTGTCTCTGACAGCTGCCCAGGAGTCCCTTGCTCTCTCCAACAGTCAGTTGCTTATGTGGTCTCACCATGTTAGAGACATGGGCATTTCACCCCAGTCCCGCTCTAGTCACTGGCAATTTTACTCCCTCCAGTCTTTCCAGTTGCTGTCATGCAGAACACCAGCTGGGTCCCAGTTCAGTGGCTGGCACTCAGACCCTGTACCCACAGATGCATACACACATAGAGAACAGAGTCCTTTACTCAGGAAAAGAGTTAGAAAGCAAATTAATGAGAAGACAGGACAGACTGCACTGGTCAAGTGCAGGACGCAGCCAGACAACCGTACTAACCAGCAGACTGTTAATTTTGTCCAGTGCTTTTGATCCCCTGATTTCTCTGTTTTCCCACACTTGTTCCTCCCCAAATCACCTAGATACATCCCTTTCCCTGCCTTTGGTTCCTCCACTAAATGTCCCATAATAAGTCCTGTGCAATTCCAAAATGCTCTTCCCCTTTGTCCCACATTGTGTTCCACACCTCTAGGCGGAAAACCCCAGCAGTCCAATAGATACTCCAGGATTGACTCATCATGATGAGTTTCAAACCTGGACACTGAGATTGTCCTGGGACAGCCCTTGCAAGGGCTGGGAGAGGGTGTCCTTTCCTCTGAATCCTTGATATGGGTTCTCACTTGCCATTGTGCCCCTGTGCTTGTGGAGATGGACTGATGGCTCCTGAGATGAGCCTGGATGAAGGCAGAGAAGGGTGTTATTTAGGCTCCCCCCACCCATGTCTGTCTCTGCTCCTTTGTGAGTGTGCAGAAGGCATTTATCGCACAACTAAAAATAGATTGTCTTCAGATATGAGTTTTTATCTAAAGGGGTGCATGATCCAAGAAGTGTTGAGTTTTCTTACTCTTCTGTTTCAATGAATGTAAATTTAAAATGAGAATGTAAGTAGTGAATTCTGCCCTGTTCTTGTCCACATAATTGAAAGAATAACTGTACTGACTTGAGGTAAAAGACAAATATTGAGGCTGAAGACAGAAAAATTCCAGCTCAAAAATTTAGATTTCTTTTCCACTTGGAGAAATATGCAGTCAAATACAGAAAGGTTAGAATAAGCCCACTGTCTGAAATAGTGCAAAAGATGACCAAAGCATTATCTCTACAAAATCTGCATTCCTGTTTAATCACTCAGGATGCACCAACTACTTAAGTATATAGTCAAGCTTCTCTTTCTTATGGTAAAATTGATTAGTGAGTGTGTTTTTTCAAAGATTATAATTTTCTTATATGTTAAGGAGAATATTCCTGTATATTTTTTTAGAACATTGCTGCAAATAGCAGGAGTAAATGCAAGTGGAGATTAGAAAGCCTGAGAACTGCAATTCTAATTGAAATATCTTCACCTGATAGTGTTTTTATATTTATGTCTTCTGAAATAATATATGCACCACTTCTGAGGAAGATAGTACCTCTTAACCACTATCAGCCATTAAGAAATCGTTCCCTTTTAGCCTTAATGCTGCACCAGTCTGTATCTTTACTCTTATTGTGGCAAAATGCCAAACACTATTTCCGCAAACAGGATAGTAAATATCAAATGATAAAATCACGTGACAGAGATTCAATCTTGCAGTTTAACAAATAGAGCCAGAATGACTATTTCATTGAAGCAGGCGCATCATATGGAAAAAAGGCAGAAACTGGAGCAGTGCTGTATAATACTGTTCTAATATCTTGGATTTCTATCATTAAGGGAGGACTGAATAGAAACAGTTTAACAATTTTAGTGTGGTATATCATTTACCATCTTTGTGTTTTGTGTTCTTTGGCTAATTTGTCTGTTTACACTAGCGGCCTGATGGGAGTGGATTTTCACAGTGAAGTGGTCGGTGCTAAAAATCCAGTGAGTGAAGGGTCCAATGTCCTCATTATGTGTGTTTAGGAGGAAGTTATTCTGGGCTTTTTCTAGTCTGTTCCCATAGATTGACTGCCAATTTGTGGCAAGATCATCGTCATTGTGTTCCTGGAACATATTCTCTGGTTTAGTTTCATTCAAAAAGAATCTTTTTTTTTTTTTTTTTTTTTTTCCCCCCTCTAAAACTACTCCATGCTGCAAACCAGAAAGAATAAGGAGGGCCAACCAGGGGCTTCAGTTTCTTGATTCAAACTAGTGTGCTGTTGTAGGCACACTAGTGTCATTAGGCTCAGACAGCTATAACGCGGAGGAAGTTTATCTAATGTACTTAGGGTAATAAGTGATAAGTACATTTATCTTTAATTCATCTGCTCTTAACTAGAATTCTAAACAACGTTAATTCTAAACAATGACTGTACTTTTTTTTAGTAGAATTTGAAAAGAACTGAAAATGGGACAGTAGTTTATACTGTCAGCAGAAAAAGACCAATATTTCTTCAGTGAAAACTTTCATCTTCTTATTCTGACCAATAAATTATTATTTAATTCTATTAAGATAATTTTCTTCTTCTCCCAAAACATATCAAAATATTAACTTAGTCTTTAACGCAAAGCAACGTGCAATGCTTGCTTCCAGGTTGTATTTTCCAAAGGAAAACATCATAAGTCACTGAATTCTGTACATTACATGTCTGTCTTTCATGGAGCCTTTTTGAAGGTCCCTGCCTCTGACTGAAAACATTTTACCTCTCTCTTTTCAACTTTTTTATCCACACATCCACGTCCCAGAGTTTTCTGTTTGATTATAGAGCTTACCTAAAGTTGCTCTGTTAGCAATTTGAAGATTTCAATCAGTTATTTTCTGAAAGGTTGTTTTCTTTTTTAGTGAGTGCTAGCTGAGATTTTTTCCTGCTATTTTGTATTAATTAATCCTCTTATAGACTTTATCAAAGTTATTGTCTTTTTCAAGACATTTCTTCTATTACTTTGATGTGCCCCACATTAGACGGATGGCTAGGTGTGAGTCTAACAGGTCCCTCATAGGGCTGAAACAATATTCCCTGACTGCTGTTCAGTGATTGGTTTTATGACCTTTTCAACTTTTTTTCTTTTTTTTTGCCTATGGACCTACCTCTCTGCTTTGTCACCACAGTTTTCAGCTGGTGTAGTTTCACCAAATCAGCATATAGTGAAATGAAATTGCTTCTACAGATTAGAGGATTGGGCCATAGAGTTCCAATTCTGAGTTTTGGGATGGCTTTTTCTTCTTGCTGTGAAGCAGGTCGCCGTTTCACATGTGGCAGCAGTGAGGGCCTTAGAGTAGGTCAGTTTCTCAAAGGAAATTAAACCTGAGTCACAGAGGCTGAACATATTTTCTAGTCTTTTTATTTTACTCTATACACAAACCCCTGTGTTTTGTGAACAATATACAGAAAGCTACAAACAGGCAAATTTCACACATGGTGAGTCTTTCTGTCTCAGCAGTACATTCAACTAATAGGTTTGTTTTCCAGATTTGGTTGTATCTGTCCCCTGTGCTCATCAAACTAGTGGTGCACCTTGTCTTTATCTGTTACAGAGAAGTATCATCCTTCTTGGTTTTATTTTTAAGCGATCTGTAGCACAGGAGCCATTAAGACCAGCACCTTGTGTAGCTGTTTTGCAATCTAGAGGAACTGCTTGAAAAAATTGCATCCGCTCAAGCTGATCTGTGCCTAGATTTCCATTTATACAGAAAAGGCTTAATCTCCACAATCTGTTTAGTAAATGTTGACATGAATGTCCAAGTATTTCTCTGTAGTGGCAAGTTCTAAGTAGGTGCGTACAGCATGTTTTGGTTTTTATTTGCTTAATTCTTTTGTGTTTTCTATAAAATCCATTGTAAAATTATACTCAAGCTAAGGGAAGTGGATGTTTCATTTGTTATACTAATATAGTAGCCCGTATTGTTAATTTGCACAAAAATTTTAAGCACAAACTGATCTTTTTGTTAAGAAGGTTCCTTTATAAATAATGCAGATTGTATAGCCTAAAAAAATGCCAGCCCTGACGTTTTCCAGATGGTGAGAGATACGTAGACACAAAGAGCGATGGAAAATATTTTCCAGTTCTTTACATTTCAACGTGTGCAGGTTTTCTACTTCAGACTGATTTATTTAGGCTAGTAGCAACAGAAAGCTGTATTTGATTAGACCATTATCATCTCTGTGGTTACCACAGAGATGCACAGTGCTACAAAAGGTACTGACATTTATTTATCTGTTAATTTCTTTGTGTTGTGTTATAATTATCTCTTATTCTGTTCTGGTGTGTCCTGTACTTATTCTATTTGGTTTGGTCTTCCTCCAGAAATGAAAGAACTTGTTGATATTTTCTTCTTGTAATAATTTATTGTTAAAGGGCTTCTTAAAAAAACCCCTTGGATATGCTTTAAAATTGAGCTTGTAGTTACTTAAATTTTGCAGTTTTCATTGTGGAAGTTACTCCTAGGCGCAAGTAATACAGATACCAATCTCTGTATACAAACAATCATAACATCAACAGTCTACACTCTTTTCTTAGCTCCCACAGATGTTTTGCTTTTTCAAAACTGGGAAGGTAAATAAGAATGTAAAAGTGTGTAGAAGACTTCATGCTGATATGTCCCTGTTTTACCAGTGCCCAGTGTCATGTTTTCTTTTGGAAATATAATCTCTCTCCTGCCACACTCTGAAGGAATTTGCCCCTTCATGATCAGTCTGGCTCTTTGCTTCGTTTCACATTTCCTTTCACAGTTTGCTCTCAGCCCTTATCCTCTGTCTTTTGAACAATTTCTGTTTGTCTTACACTCTCCTGTTGCTAATCTGCACACAGTTATGATTATACTGAGTTATGACACAAAATGTCATTTGGATATATAGCTTAATTATGCTAATTATCAGATCCATTTATCTTTGTCACTTGCCATCCATATCTACTGTTCATTTTAACATGATGTTTTTATGTTAAAAATCTTGAAACTAATTTTTATAAGGACCTGCCAAGTTTTTGGAGATGTGTGTGTATTATTGAGATAAATTTTATGGCACAGGCTAAGTGTTGGTACACTAATGCATGGATGTGAGAGCTGCAGTGAATGCTTGGAGTTACAGAAAATAATAAAACTGATTAAGGGACACAACTCCTGGTTTGAGTCACAGCTGTAACAGTAAGAAAGAGTTGGAGACACTGCCTTTGCCAGGATAATTTGATACGGGTTAAAAGAAATATTTTAATTTGTTTAAGCATACAGTCTATCCATCATAATTTTCTTCCTATCTTTCAATATATGTGGGACTATATTTTCCCTTAAGTATCTGCAGTATTATTTTACTACCTGTTTAGCTTCTCCACTGGGAACCAGAGATTGCTGTTCTTCAGTGATGGTGGATGACATGATGTTTGAGTTTTATAAGCTGCCTTGTGATCAAGTGAATTAAAAATTTAAGAAAATGTCATCAGGTTCTAGATATCTGGTGGCATAAGCATAATAGTATTTTAATTAGTTTTTGTAGAATATCGTCCAGTTTAAAGCATTTTGTTATAATTTTCTGTTTTCATCCTAGTTACTTCTTAAAAGTAGTGTTTAATTGTGTTTGTTAGGGTTTCTGCTACCTTGCTTCACTCCCAAGAACTATTAAAATTACCCATTAGTGAAACAATAATCTCCTCTGTGATCTACTATATAGCAGCAGAAATGGCCAGCTGTGATTAGAATAGAAACACTGCAAGGAAAAATTGCTATTAAAATGTAAACAGGAAAACTTTTTTTTAAAGTTGTAATAACAAAAACTGAAATGAAATGTAATAGTATGTCATTACTGCAAATAATTTTTTTCAAAAGAAGTTTGCAAGTCTGGATAATTATAAAGGTAATATTAGTGTGGTGCAAAATATGTTAATACAGTAATTCTGAATTATATTCCAGAATTCTTTGAAAATAAGTGCATACTTTTTGTGTGTAAGACTTTGGTCTAGACTAGAAGGAGAGGAACTAGAAAGTTGTAAATATATTTTAACTGTCAGCTGTTTTTAACAGTGTTAGCATCCACTAGTGATAAATGTTGAAACTTTCAAAAACAAGCTGAGTGTACACTTTTTTTAGATGAGGGAGCCCATTCATCTGCTTGCCCGCTGTTGTATGTGAGGTGAAAATCTAAAAACCCTAGGATTTGTGATTGCTATTCTCCTTTTAAGATGAAACGAAGGTTAGCCACCCAGAGCATGTTTTGCACAAATCTGGAGGTTGAAAATGCCTTCCTTGGTAACAGTGAAATATAGCTATTGTTTGAGACCATGAATAGGCACAGTTAGGTAGTCTCCAAATAACTTGCCAAGAAAGACTTTGCAAATTAGATCCTGAAATCATGAATACTCAACAGGGAGTGAGAGAAGAAAATGGAGCACTATGGAACACTTGCTTGATGGGTTGCTTTACTGAGCAATGCACAGCAATACTCAGCATAGTATTTTTTTAAGCTTAGTATTTTCATATATTTGTGCAGAGAGTTACAAGATTTGAACCTGGGAGTGACATATGCATGGATAGCTCTCTCTATTCCCAAATTTGAAAGTCTTCTGGCAAAATTTTTTTGGGAAAGCTTTTGGATCATGTGCAAACTACAAATATAATCTCAAGCTTTTTCTTCTTCTAGTGTTGGTGTATGAGGTCCATGTATACACGGGTGCTAAACTCGGTGCTGAAACAGATTCTAATGTTTATATCAACCTCATTGGGACAAGAGGAGATACTGGCAAAAGAAAGCTGCATAGATCTAAGAATAATAATGTAAAATTTCGACATGGACAGGTGAAGTAAAAACAGTGCTACTTCTGAACAATGAGTAAACTATGGCTAGCAAACTGTTTCTTCAACAAGTGTAAATATTTTTTTATTTACAAGTTTTATTCAAGCAGTTTGCCATTTTCTCACACGTTTTCTTTATTCAAAATTACATACAGAGTTACATCATATGAATAATTTTTATCTGCTGAATCAATCATTTACCGAGAGCATTGCATAGTAGAATTTGAGTACTCTTGGTTATTTATATTGCACACATGGTAACAGTAACATTTTTGTTCTCCTGAACAGATCACTGTGAGTTTTAGAATAAAGTTCTAAATCCTTATTCCCAGGTACGTTTTCCCATCTTGATGAGGCAGATAGGGCTAGAAAATGTAATACAGAGATGACCAGATAATTCTTTAAAACTGATCCTTGTGTCATACCAAAGGAATCAAGTATGGAGTAATTTTAAGGTGTTATTCACCTTAGAAAGTTTTAAAAGATCCTCACTGGCTGGCCAGGGCCAATATAAGACACCTATATTCATTTTGCAGGAAAAAGAGGGAAAAAATAAACTATTCTATACTGTTAAAGTCAAAGCAACAGCTGTGTTCAAGCCCTTTATAATTTTCCTTGTATGGTTCCACAGATGGATATTTTCTGCATAAAGGCTGTCTCACTGGGAGACTTGGACAAAGTTCTGATTAGCCATGATGGAGCTGGTCCAGGTAGGATTTAGCTTCCTAGAGACCAATCTGTTTTCAAGTCCTTTTTAAACACAATGCACTTTATTTATATTGCATGCTTCATACAAAATGTGACAGAAGGTCTTGCAGTGATAAAAGTCTCCCCACAGACTGGTCACTGTGATGAGACAATGAAAAACAGTGGTAATGGATAGTAAAAAGGACACAAGTTTAATGTCAAATATTGTCATTCCACTCTTTGTGGAAAAAAAAGTTTATTTATAAGAAAGCACTATTTATTTTCATATAAAAACTTGTGAAATTGTTGCTCACACAGGTAAAACAATCCTTCATTAGACAGACTGAAGATTGACCAGAACAGAATTAAAGACATTCAACACCTATTTCACTACTACATGAATTTTGAGTACCTATAACATAATTTCCTTACTGCTTTGAGCAACAGTAGAAGATTTCTTTACTTATTTAATCTGTGCAAGTCAATGTGGAGCTGCTTCAGTGAGCAACATTGCATTCAGCTTGTAGGTTTTTCAGAAAAAAAAAGAGATAATTTTGTGATGAGACAAATTTTTGATACAGGCCTTTGAGCTGTACATCTCTGAAATGATGTAAATGAAGAGAAAGCTAGCATTAAAAAGCACTGAAGATTTAAATACCGTAAATATGTTTGCAGATTAGTGGCTATGAAGAAGTCAAGTGAAGAGAAGGATTTTTAAAGTAGTTCAGGACCACACTGATACTAGATGAGAAAAGCACTTTTACCCTACTCTGTTCTGAAATGGCCTCAAGCAACACCCATCTTGCTGACTGTCTGTACTATCTAAGGCTCTGAGCAGACTTGTGACTATTACAGAAATAGGTTTATTAGTGCAGGCTTGGTAAGGGATATAAACTTGATTCTTGTATCTTTGTAGCTCTATAGAGGTTGCTGCCTTCGGCAATATGGATGATTGTATATCTGAGAGTTTCACATCCTCGTAGGCCAAGGTGTAACACAGAAGACCGTGTGGTGGAACCTACCTTCACTCTCGTACCATGCCCTTTTCCTTCATTTCTCCTTTAATAGGCAGCGTAGACATATCACACAATAAGCATTACAAATCTGCAACCAGACTCAGCTACCTTAACTTGTTCTTTGACAACAGATTTCAAAATCTATGTTTTGGAGGATTGTTTGAACAGGACAATGGATTGAATTCTAGGTATAACAAAATTTATGCCTCGGGAATTAAAATGATTTTTTAATTGTACTCAGCACAGACAGATCTCACAGACCTCTTTTGAACTGTATCCAAAACTAGGTCCAGATAAGCCTGGCCTGAGGTGACCAGGGGGCTTGGGAGGTGGAAAAGGATGGTGAGTCAGGAGAGAAGCCATGTAGATAACCAGTCTTTTGGGGATTGAGAGGCAGGAAAGAGGGTTCCTTTAAACATGGAGTTGCCTTTTTTCTAATCATATCAGTTGCCTGAGTGATAGGGCAGAAGGTCTCTAGCCTTGATTTGGAGTCTATCTTGAAAGGATCATGAAACATATGCTTTCTTTGGGGCTTCTGGACTGCAAGGCATAAATCTTCTACAGCCACCAAGAATGAGGAAAGAAAAGGAATTTTGTCGTAGACAGCAGGGGTTTGGCATTGGTCTCATCCACAGAAATTTTCCATAGATATCTGTACATCTACAAAAGCAGTGCCTTTCATCTTTTTTGGCCTGTTTCAAAGTGACCTGCCTGATTGCTGGTGAATCTTGGCCAGGCTAGTGGGCTCCTTCCAGTGAAAGAGCATCTGAGGTATAGAATGGTGACAGAAGAAGCTTGCAGAGTGTCCTAATGTGCCCTCAGCCTGGAGTCTTGAAGGGGAAATGCCATTCTGCTCCATGCACTGCCCAGGCAAGCCCTCCCTATGGGAGAGAGACCTCTGCCTTCTAGGGACTTTGAGCCTCATATGCCGCCAGGGATGCAGAGCCTGAGAATAAATAGGACAGTTATCTGCTTCTGACCAAAACATCCCTCATGTTGTTTTGCTACAATGTGTTGATAAATAATGGTATGAATCAGACAAAACCTTGTAAGTGATATGACAAGTTGTGAGTGGTGCAGACACAGTGAGATCATGACATTTTAAAAGGGTGTCACAGGAGAACTGTACCAGTCACTAGGATTGTTATGGGAAGTGATCTAAGAGATCACTATCAGTAGCCCAATAGAAGTGAGGCTGAACAGCTCCATGGCCTCCAGTCCCACTAGTAGCAAGGCTGAGTATGTATTCCAAGTAGGCACACATACAAACACATTTATAAAAATCGGTTAGGTATGCACATGGCCAACCACGCTGATTAACACAGACAGGAACTCAGCACTCACACAAAGATAAAGAGCACCAATGGCCTTATCCTTTTGCCCTCCCCAGCTGATCAGAACAACAGTCCATCAGTGACAAATATATACATACATACGTTCTGTATGGATCTATAAGGCCTCCAGTAGCTGGCATTAGACACTAAGTCTATCCAGTTATTGGCCCTGGGCCCTTGGATCCTCAGTTTTCCCAGTTACTGACACTTAGACATCTAAAGAACCTCCAAGGCTCCAGCCCCTATCCATTTGCAAATACAGTAGTAGTCATAATCATTTGTTGATTAATATGGTTATATATACAATAACAACTTCAGCTTTCACACAGATCTGTTAACTGCATAAACAGGTTTGTCCCACCATCCTTATACCTGATCACAAGGAATCAAAAGATGCAGGCTGGGATGTGAATGGTGTTGGCAGTTCACAAATGTATATGTATACTTGTCTCCAAGGAAAAAAAAGCCCACTCCTCTTAAAATTAAAACAGAGCAAGGAAGAGATGAATTAACATAGTACCTCTTGTAAGAGACACAGAATAATAAAACTTCCAATCTGTTAATATATCTTATCTACTTAGTGGAGCTCTGTGTTAATATTACCTGTGTTTTTGCTGGAAAAATATAATCTGGGCTTTTTCTTTAAATTTATTTTTAAACCCCTGCATTATTTCACATGATAAACTTTGTCATTTCAACACAGGCAATGGATGGTTCCTGGATAAGATTGTCATCAAACAGAAAGAAGGAAAGGAAGCTCAGGAGATTGTATTTCCTTGTAATAGGTATGCCATTCATGTAGAAAAATAATTTGTTACACTGCCAGCAACCTAAGGAAAAAATTGCAGAACAGGCATGTGCACACAACCTAGATATATGAGCAATGCTCGAGTTTTTCAACATACAAGAGATGCAAAATTTTGCCATTGAAGACAAAGAACAACGTTGCTGTATTGGTATGGGAGGGAGTCATAGCCTAATGTCCAAAATCACGTTGCATAGAAAAAAGGTACATTAATCTTTCTTTTACCTAAATTATAGGGAGATCACATGAAAATAAATAAGCTTTCAGTTCTCAGTCTTTTAAAAAGTACAATGTGTAAAGATCTAGTGGTACTGATTTTGGTCAGATTCTCTTTCTCAGTCACTGAAAACCTTATATACATCCAAAGATGGCTGTATATAAGGACATATATGTACATATATCTTTGGAAAGACCTTTAACTTTTCTTCTAAAGGAGAGCCACAATAGTTCCTTTCATTTAGTAAAACTCTACTTGTCTGTCTTACTAGGTCTAGAATTTTACTGCCATGGGCAAAATTGGAAAATGCTTGACTGTCTCAGTTCTAACAATTATGAAACAGACTATTTTTCCAATTTTTTTTATTACCTGAGGCAACAGCAACCTGAATTTTTACCAGTCATTGAGTTAAATCATATGGATATAACACAAAAAAATTATAAGATAAGGATTTATGTGTGTTATTTCTATTTTAGTATATTTAATACAACAGAAATAATTTGAAGAACTGTAATTTAGATCCAGCTAATTATATTCTGTGATATGTGGTTTCCCGAATTTATGAGTTTGGGTTATGTGGCTGAAATGGTTTCCATGTTTTTTTGTGAACTGCGTCTTAAACTCTTGAAAATTTTTGTGGGTTCAGTAAAGACAGCTCTTCCTCTGTAGGAAGCCTACTTGTTTACAAAAAACCCCCTAGGGTTTCAGTTTACAAGGTCCCTGGAAATGGCTAGCTAAGAATGATTTGCTCTTCTCAGAACTATTATTCTGATGATCAGGTTTTTGGTTTATTTTTCCTTTTTGGCTAGTAGGCTTTTTAATTGGTTTGATGTGCATTAAAGATGGTTATTGGAAGAGCAGATGAATGAGACAATTGTTTCTTTAATTACAAAGAGATTTTATGAAACTTCTCTAAAGGGAGGGATACTTAATGAAGACACTTGGGCTATCTATAAAACTGCCTTGTCAAAAAAAATTATTAAGCTCTTAGAAAAAGATTAGAAACATTATATATATAGAACTAGAGGAGACCTGTCATTGTTTGCCTGCAGTGTAAGTGTGCTGCCAGTGTCAAATTTTACATTCTATTTTTGGAAACTGCTAGTCATCTTTTGTTTCCTCGGAGGGAATGAGGAGATGTTAGCTCACAAAAGTTAATCAAGCTATTTATTGCAACAGTAGTTGAAATACAGTGGAGTTTAGACTTCATGCGTATGAGATTTATTCATAGAGTTTTCTTATATACAAGAAGTGAAATACATTATGAACCCTTGGGTTTAAACAAATGCAATATCAACATGGAGCCAATAGAATAGAAGTTGATAGTGAGCATGTATTTACTTATTTTTAAATAAGCGAGGTTGTTAAAGGCTGTAAAGTGTTATTATACCAGCAAGGGGGATCAACTGGAGAATGGGTGTGTGTGTAGTGAACTGATATTGCAGGAAAGATCCTTAAATTCATCAGTTTAAAAGAAAGTAAAAAGAGAAGTTCAGATCATTGCTGCAGAGCTACAGAAGCTTTAGAAACTTCCAGACCAGCAGGGGTTATATAACCCCCTCAAATGTACAGTTGAGTCTCTGATCCTGTAAATACTTAGTATTTCATACCATGTACTTTATATAGTACTATAGTACTTCATTTAGCTACCATGAAAATTCCTATTTGCCTGCAGCAGAGTGAGCCAAATTCTCCCAATATGAATAAGGCCAATTATGATGAATGTATAAAAGAAAATTCAATCTAAGAAGTAGTTTCAAGACATAATTTGATTTTAAGAGTACAAAAAAATGCTGTTGGAGAAAGAAGGGAATTGTCAGATTACTTGTAATATACTGATAATAATTATTAATCTTATTATTTTTATTTTTGCAATGAAAGATGGTTAGATGAAAATCAAGATGATGGGAAAACTGAGAGGGAACTAACTGCTAATAGTAAGTACTTTGTTAAAGAAAATTCATGTTATAACAATATAGTGTATATTTAGTAGCTAGTTATTACTGAAGAACCCTTCTGAATAAGACTGTAACTTAAGAAGAAAATTAATAATAAAGCTTTTTTTTCTGTTAATATTTTAGAAAATGGCAATTCAAAGAAAGCATTCCTTAAAGGTAAGAGTTGTTTTCTACAGCATTGTTTTTGCTGTTTGAATTTAATCTGAAAATTAGTGTTAAGTGCCAAATATATGAGGAAGTGACCACATCGTATATGTAAACTATCAACTGTGAGAGAAAATGAAGACAAATTGGCTGGCAGTGGTCTACAGAAAGGGCTAAGCGTTTATTAGTAATTGAGAAAAACATGCTGCTCATAAATCATTTCTGATTTTCTTAATATTTCTACTATTCTGTCCTGAAATCAGCCAGGAATTCCTCTGAGAAGGGTTTCAAGTGGGTTTTTTTTTTTTGTTTTGTTTGTTTATAACCAATGTCACTGTCATCTAATACATAGGGACAGGTCCCCTAGCAAACATCATCAAGTTGAAAAATGTGTTGTGAAGTGTTAGTGGAAGCATTTTCAGGTCAAAATCCATTAGGGTATTCCCAAAGTAGCCAGAAATAATGCAGACTTAAACTCCAAATCTGTTAGTCAAGTTAAATTTAGTATGTGTATTCAGTTGACTAAATCTGCTTGAATTAGTGAAAAGATTTTAACAAAAAACTACCCATCCAGCTGTCTATTTTTATACCTACAAAGACAGCTCCATCACTGTAATATGCTATTAACTCCCATGTGTTTAAAATTTGAGATACCATCTCTGTGTTTCTCCCTAACTAGAAAAGAGAAACAGACTGACACAAGTATGTTTATGAACATTTAACTGTAAATATGTGTTCTCTGTAACTATGTCTGGAAACTCTATGGGAGAAACTAAAATTAAAAAAGTAACATTTACATTTGATTCTGGAAACAGTGACTTGCCTTCTCTAGGATGAGTCCTGATCTTTTGATCTAATTCCAGTTTCAGCAAAAACTAAATTATTTGCATGCAATCAAGCAATTTAGTCAACAGCTTTATTGTTCTGTGGCAACATAACTTTGACAAGAGGAGACTGATTAACTCTGGTAAGTAAAGGCTTTCCCACAGAGAAGTTTGATTTTCACAAGAGTGACTTGGAATTGGATTATGCATTTTGCTTAGTGCACAATTCAGAGATGCAGCCATAATATCTATTTCACCTTATGTTCAGAAAATAGATTATATTTTACTACTAATCTATTTTTTTCCAGTGCAGCCTCATTCTTTATTGTGCTATAATAAACAGGAACAGATGCACAAAATGCTGAGAGCCTGTGCGTGTCAACCATATATGGACTATGAGGAGAAAGGAGTGGCTTATTATTAATCAGTTTGTGAAACATCAGACTGTCAAGATGTCCAGGAGGACCCGAAGAGTGTGTGCTAATTTCTTAGGTTGAGATCAGATGCTCTGAATAATGAAGATATACAGGAGAAGAACATTTTTAGGAACTATTCTGCCAATTAGCTATGCATCAGCTTAGCTTGTATTGCTCTTTAGGCATCTTTTCTTTAGCCAGGGGCTCATTCCAGTGGGAAAATGAGATAGGTGAGCGATTGCGCTTTTTTGCCTTATGTAAAAAAGATGATGGGCAGAACTGATCTCAGGATTATTCACAGTTTATTTTGTGGTGTTGTACTGGTTATCTCATAGACCTTGCATGTGAACAGATTGAGCTTTATAAGAGGTTAACAATAAAAAGAGGTTTGGAAAGGTGTCTTGTACTCAATTTTATGTCAGTCCATCATGACACAGAGCCAGGGTTAGAGCTGATAAGAGAAAATTCTAGGATTGCCTTAAATTCTCCCGACAGCTGTAGCAGTAAAGATTTCACATGTTAGAGTATATATTAGCAATAAGCAGTTCTACTCACAGTGGAAGCAAAAACTTTCTATATAATATACATTTACTGAATAAGAGGCAAGCAGCAGTGTTGATGTTAGGGAGCCAATGTTTTATGCATTCATTTTGTCATATTCTATACGAACTGCACTCTGCAAGTGAGCTTCAGGGAAAGTCATAAAAAAGTTGATTGGCATAATTCAGTGGTTTTTGGTGATTTTCAGAATAAAATCAATGTGCTTAGGTAAGGTCCATAACAAAGGTTACAAAACAAAACCGTCACTCTGAAGGTCAGAAATCTCATTCTCTTTGGATAAAACTAGTAAGATGTTCAACCACCTAGCCAAAGAAGGGAGTCTGAAAGTCACCATTGCTAAGCAGGTTAACTGGGGGTTCTCAATCCTTTTTCAGCCAGACTGGCATTATGCTGTCTTTAATGAAGCATAAATCCCAGATCCCTGTGAAGACTGCTGCTGGTTATTGAGTCTTCCAAAATGCAGTATGCCATATAAAATTTTCCCAGCAACCTTTATGGAGATGTTATGGCAAATCAAGTGTAGGAACAGTTTTATTTGTATTCTCTTGAATCAAAACCTTGTATGTTTGATGCAAGAGAAAAAGGCAAAAAGAACTGCCTTGTTAGGGAAGGTGGATAGCTGCTCTCAGCTCTCAAATGATGAAGTTTTTTTTGAGGGAGAGCAGGACTTTACGTCACTTTCTGAAGGTTTCCTACTTTACAGGGAAATTTTACTACTTTCACTTTCTGTTTTATCTTTTCTACCTCAGAATAGGTAGAGTATCATGATAGAACATAGTAAAAGATTTTCTCTCTAAGCATGGAGAAAAGACATAGTATATTCCAATGTAGATCACAATGCAGTCAGTTAAAAGGAGCTGGGTTCCTGTAGGGTGCTTTGTGGTACTGTGGGCTTTTGTGAGTGGTGTGTAAAATACAGTTCAACATTGAAGAATGGAGTTCAGTCAATAGATATTTCTAGGGTGGATCTTAGAATCATAGAATGGTTTGGGTTGGAAGGGACCTTAAAGATCATCAAGTTCCACCCCCCCTGCCATCAGCAGGGACCCCTTCCACTAGACCAGGTTGCTCAAGGCCTCATCCAGCCTGGCCTTAAACACTTCCAGGGAGGGGGCATCCACAACTTCCTTGGGCAACCTGTTCCAGTGTCTGACCACCCTCACAGTGAAGAACTTCTTCCTAATATCTAATCTAAACCTACCCTCTTTCAGCTTAAACCCATTTCCCCTTGTCTTGTCATTAACTGCCCTTATAAAAAGTCCCTCCCCAGCTTCCTTGTAGGCCCCTTCAGGTACTGGAAGGCCACTATAAGATCTCCCCAGAGCCTTCTCTTCTCCAGGCTGAACAGCCCCAACTCTCTCAGCCTGTCCTCATAGGAGAGGTGCTCCAGCCCTCGGATCATCCTCGTGGCCTCCTCTGGACTCATTCTAGCTGCTCCAGGTCTCTCGTATGTTGGGGGCTCCAGAACTGGACGCAGTACTCCAGGTGGGGCCTTATGAGAGCAGAGTAGAGGGGGAGAATCACCTCCCTCGACCTGCTGGCCATGCTTCTCTTGATGCAACCCAGGATACGGTTGGCTTTCTGGGCTTCTTGTATTGTGCAAGGTTGTTGGTATTAAGGCATAGAGAATATTTATAAGAAAAGAGAAAATATGTAGTAAACTCTCCTATTATTTCCTTTTTTAAAAAAATTATTCCCTACCTTGCCAATATTTGCTAATGTGGTAAAAATAATCAAGAATTCCCAAACTGTAATTGAATTGGTCCTGCTTCTAAAATGCAATGCTGGTATTTATGATTGAACCTGATGATCTTACAGGTCTTTTCCAACCAAAACAATTCTGATTTTATGATTCTATATATTGACTGAAGTTCCTAGCAAAATAAAATAAATTAAGCAGATTGACCTCTGCCTCAAGGCAACACAAATTACTAAAATCTCTGGGAAGTAAGCAACTTGCTCCTACAGCTAACGAAGTGTGAATGCCATTGTAGGTCTTAAGACCAAAAATCACCAGAGTAAAAATCCTGGAATAATGTATTGTAAAAACAATGGTTGTAATCCTGTAAAAACATATAAATTGTTCATATTTTAAAAATGGAAAAAAAGCCTTGCTTTTTTTTTTTTTTTCAGTTTTCTGAATTATATTGCTAAATGTTTACTTCATGTTTTACCTTGCCTAGTTTGCTATGTGCAGAATTCACTGAAGATTTGATTTTCACAGTTTTGCTACAAGCATTTTTCAGGTTCCAAAGTAATGGTTACAAGACTTTCTGAAAGGAAAAGGACCCTGCTTCTAATGTATCTCTGGATACATCTTTGTAATGTGAAATCAGATCCTTGGTTATATTATTTTAGAAAAGAAAGGATTCTGAGATTTTTTTCACAGAAGCCTGTTTCCCCCCACCATTCATTTTAGCAGTCATCATACTAATGTCTCAAAGAAAATTACTGTACATTTGTACGTAAGCTAAAAGTACTATAGTACACTAGCGCACTTTTCGCTCTTAGAGAAAGCTAACACAGTTCAGTAGTATCAGGGAAAAGTATCTTTTTTAATGTGGCCATGCATATGAAACCCATAAGATGATCTACTCAAGCCCAACTATCTGATTTTCAGAATTTACTGAGGTCTTACAGAAAATATCTTGAAAAGAGGTAGAGAAATCACTGAACACAATAGGTATCGGGCATCAGTCTCCTGTCTGTTGTACCATCCTTACCAAGTAGCTGTCTAAGTGAATATAATATTAAACAAAATATTTTTTTCTTATTCTGGAATGAGCAGGTTAAATGAATTTGCTGAACTGACAGAAAATGCAGTCAGTCTGGATTAGCTCAGCTACCAAATTGTAAAAGCATTAAAACTAAATGTAGGACAACAAACGGTCACAGATGCTAAAAGACCTTAAATTGGTTAAGCACTGATTTATTTCCTGGAAAGCTCCCAACCAATGGCTTAGTCTTTCTTCTGAAACAATAATTAAAAACACAGGCATGGATATTAATTAAAATACATCACCTTGCCTGAAATACCTTCTCTAAACCTGCTGCCTTTTTGAGCAAGGAACAGACAGTTATGTGTCTGTGCTTTCTCTTTACTTGGGGCTTGCTCTCTCCTGAAGCAGAGGGATATTACAGAGAAGAAAAAAAGCTCACTTGGGAAACAGAGTAATGCAAAATTATCTTAATGTCCCCTCTGCTGTGTTCCTGGAACAGCCTTCAAAATGGGGCATGGTTGGAGAGGATAAGAGGTTCAAGGCTATGTTGGGAATCTTTGTAAAAATTTGAATCTGCTCATAAACCCTCAGAGTGTTCAGGAACAGCAGAAGCTCAAACGATGCTTAACTTCACCAGGTGTGACACCCTGAAGGGTACCACATGCTAACCTGGCACAAGGAGATAAAATTCAAGGCTGGCACATATATCAAAAAACAAAAGTTCCTCATTAGGCAAAGTGTGGATCTTCCACGTACTACATCTGACTCATTCCTGGAAATGACCTCAAAAAAAGAGTTCAGATGGAAGGATCCTTTCAGCTAGTGTGTTACTCAGCAGACTGACTGTGAGATGTTTGCTTGCTGTTTTGTAGCTGAGCCCAGAAGAGTCAGGGAACAGCCAAATGTAAAGCAGAAAAAGCTTCTCTAACAAGGAGAAAACCAGAATTAGCTAAAGAAAACATTATGAAAAAAGGGAAAAATCATAAAGCACAAAAACCAGATCAGGTTTTCACCCAGTCTCCATCTCCAAGTAGGTGGACGAAAATGAAAACTAAGAAAAAACTACAGAGTGCTGTAAGAAAAAGAATCACATTCAATTTATTTCTGAATTAAAGTATTCTAAAATTTATTTTGTCACTGCATTGCATTGTAAGCTTACACACAATCATGAAATAGTTCTCCTTTATATGAATCTCATTAGCAAATTATCATATTAACACAGTACTTGTCACAGTGTAAACATAGGCTTTGGATTTCCTTCCACTGTTAAGTTCCCTTTGCCATGCAAGATTAAGTGTCTTTTCTACAAATAATTCATTTGAAGATTGACATTCAAGCAGTTAAATAACTTTCTAATCTATGCTGTCCATCTAAGACACAGTATTTTTTCCACACCTGGAATGATTTTCTGTAGCTTCTTGGTTGCCTTCTGAACTTCAAATGTTATGAGTACAGGTCACCTACCAAAAAGAATTTTTGGAAGTCCCACTCCATGACATGGGTTAATGGAAAGACTTCTTTGAAATTCCCTAAATTTTGGATTCAATCCTAATGAATGATCTGATCTGGCAAAGGAACAACTGAAAACAACAAATTGGGTTATAAAAATCTGAGAAAATAGGTTTAAGTTTCATTGTTTAACTAGTTGTATATTAGCCAGCAGTTCTTACAAATGGATCTCATAGAAATCCGTCAAAATGTTAGTTTTCTTTTTCATGTTACATATAAAAACTTTAAGAACAGGTATTTAATAAATTAATTACTGCAATTAAAGCAACTGTTTTGTTATAAAGAACGCACAAATCTAACCAAATATTCTTTTTCCTGCTTCCTTGGTTTTAATTTCTGCTTGCATATCCATTTCAACAGTTGTCTTATATTTCTCAATCTTATTGAGGTTATAACTGTCTTCAAGAGAAGGAATGTCTATTTGTCTACTTTTATAAAATGTGATATAAGTTCATAATAACCATTAAATTCTTTGTTGGAATAATAACAAGAACATTTATTACTCTCTGTCACTGGTACTAAAAATGTGATGGTTTTATTTTATTTAGCACAACAGTGGAGAGTGCAGGTTAAAACAGATGGAGATTCCCCAGGACCACAAGAGTGTAAAAGGACCCTTGTGATTTATGGCTCAAAGGGCAAAAGTGATGAGCTTCTGCTTTCTCCACAAACTCCAGGATATGTGTGCTTCATACCCAGAGCAACAGATGAATTCATTGTAAGTCATAAACATACAGTACTACACAGAGCTTATAGTGACATTTCTCTTGAGCCAAAAAATATGTGTATAAAAGATATATAGATGGATAGATAGATAGACAGATAGATATATGGAATGTTAGTTTGACTGGTAAAAATGATATATTTATTTACAAGGATGGAATAATATAACTTTAGATCTTGGGGCATCTTCTGCTGATAGTCCTGTTCTATTACAGCTAGCTGCAGTGATCTCTTTGAATTTTCAGCATCTTCAAGTGTATGTATCATGGAGAAAAATGACCATTTTGTGTAATTTATTGCATTCATCAGCTTGTCTTGTATTTTTTTTTTCTAATTCTCTAAAGATTCCTGAATTGCAGTTTATACAAAAGACAATATACAATTATTTGAGAATGCAGAAGATGAAGGATTAGACAGCATTCCCAGAGGACATAAGTGGGCTTTTCTTTCCTTTATATCAGTCCCTGTAAAGCAGTCTCCACTCTCCCCAAAATAGTCCTGTCTCTCAGGCCAGCAGGCAGGGGATTTTTCTAGATAATCATAAATCACAGGAGAATGCATTCATGCATATCAATGTGTGATGAACCCTGAAGCAATAGCACAGACATGGCCAATATTAAATTGAACCCTAACACAGTCCTGGCTACCTGTACATCTGACACACACCCTGCTGCTTTGAGAGGATTCATCTGAGGCATCTTTTTAATGTTCAGGTTCTGTCCTGGCTTTCTAGGCTAAGTCACTGCAAATTCTGTTAGGCATGAAGTGCAGCTTCTAGCGTGTGAGATGAGAGAAATAGCTTACAACTCAAGGCAGTTGTATAAAGCTCAGAAATTCTTTTCAATGGCTGTAATAAACATTCTAAAAGCAATGGCAAAACTGCATTTAGAAAATGTTGTCAAATCTTCATCATAATGACATGATCTAGGCTGAATTTTTAATTTAAATAACAAACTAAAGAAATTTAGGAACTTTACAGGGGTTAAATGAAAAGATAAATGGCACTTGTTAAAGACAAGAAAGCTGCTGCTTATCAGAAAACAGACAGGAAACACACTAAGCAACAAAAGGAGCTTCCTAAGCCATCAACATAAACTAAAGAGGAGGTCAATATAGGCAGAACCTATATATGGAGCAATGACACTGGCTAGCTGAATTTTGGCAAGTATCATTCCATAAAGCAGACCTCTGCTACATCCAGCTTGTTCTTAATTTCCAAAATGGAATGTATTCCTTGTTAAGACTGCCTAATTTCAATGACTGAGGATCACGCTAGGAGAAATTAGTACTGTTACGTGTCAGTTTTGGTTGTCCCTCATAGTTTACAATCCTAGGTACCATAGTACCACATCCATTGCACTGGGTTTCCACCCCAAAGCTTTCTAAATGCTTGTTCTTACTTTGCCTTGGCTTTGGATTAGTGCCTATATTTCCCCCTTAGTTATGAGTGTCCTTGTTTTTGTTGGCTTGTATGAAGAAGTTAATACTATTTGAGCATTGTTTACTGTGCATGAAATTTTGTCTCTTTGCCACATTGCTTAAAGTGTTTTACAGTTTTCATGGAATTCTAAGGAAATCAGAATAGCAGGTCTGATATAAAGGAGCATTGGAGATTCACAGATGCCTCCATAAATGCCTTCATATCTTATCTAGTTGATTCAGCTAATAAACCCAGTTTCTTTTTGCTCTCCCTTTCTCTGTTCTTATTAAAGATCTTCAGAAGAATGCAGAAGCTTTGCTCATGTTCTCCCACTGCAGTAGCAGGCTGGAGGCAAAAGCATGATATCAAGGAGGACAAGCTGTGATTTCAGCTTTCCAACAAGCAGGAGTAAATGAACTTTTAAACACCACCAAGATCTTGGTCCTAGACAAATGTCCTTAGTAATATAGTGCAGTAAAAAGAACAACAGGTTATGTGCTATAAGCAACTCACATTGTTTTGAAATAGTAAGCTTAATTTTGATCTCAGAGACATTTATTGCACACTGAGGACAAGAAGGCATGCAAATTCCTGATTTTCCAGGTGCTCTCACACAGTTATATGCACAGATGTGTATAGTATTCAGAATGATTATTTGATCCAAAATATTTCTAACCAACTCCTATGAAAGAACAGATGTAGTTTAATTGCATGTAGCAAGCGTAAAGAATAAATTGTTCAAAGAGATAAAATAGCAGCATGCTATCAGGTACAGTTGTTAGGTTTCAGTGGTCTCAGGCATCTGTAGTACAGTGGGTGAGATGCTTAAAGAAGAATAAATTTTATTAGAATACCTTAGTTCTAATAAATAAATAGGTGAATGTGTCAATGTTATTGAATCTGCTGGGGGTTCTAGCACTGAAGATAGCATGACACGAAACGATGCCATCTCCAGTGAAAAAACACATTGAAAAATAACTGGGAAAATGAAAGTAAACTGATAGTGCTGTAGTAGAATATTTTCCCCTTGATATTCTGGTGATGATAGGAATCAGTTGCTGATCTCACATGGAACGAGTAAATTTGTAAAGTATATATAGCTTTCTCCCAGTTGTCAGTGTTTCTTGGTTACTTCCACAGTAAGCTTGTCAGAGCATGCCTTTGGAAAGTCCTAGTGTATCACGCACATTCTATTATCCAGAGAATCATAAAATGTAAAGATGCATTGACTGACAGATCATGGGTCTGGGATCCCTAAAACTACTCTCCAAAGCACTAGCAGATGTAGTATGAAATGAACAACAGAGCTCTGCAAGTAGGACTGGTCATAAATACACAACAAATATGGAATGTATTTTGTGTTAAGGATTATGAGGGTGACAGAAAATTTCAAATCACATAATACAAAACTATGTGTTTGCCACAGTATGAGATGATGCTCCAAACAAGATTTCTGGAATTCCTGACAGAAAGCTGTTCAGCTGAATTTTAGAATGCTTTGACCACACCCTTTTAACTAGAATAATTTATGCTTTTTTTTTTTTTTTTTTTTTTTAACAAGGAAGTGATAAAGAATTAAATTAAAATGCACACCCAAACAGTAAATTTTACAAAGCTTTAATTACGTTAGGTGTGATGTCTTTGGAGAAGCCGCATGTGAGTTAAAAAGGAAAAGATTTAAAATATTATTAAATTCTCTAATCATCTTCATCAGTCACCTGTCTCTGGGAGGTTCAAAACCCCAGTGGCTTTGCCAGAGCATCCTCTTAATTATAAGAACTATGCTTCTTCAATCATGCAATGGAAAAAAATATTGTGTTGTTTAGTATATGACAAGTCACATCCAACTCAGCTCAGATTTCAAGTACTGAATATTACATAAGGCTGTTCAGAAGAAATAAATGTGGAAAAAATAATTAGGAAATTATAATAATGAACAAAAAACAAAGTACGGTCTCCTCTGCAAACATTCTGCAAACTTAAATCCAGGATATCCACTGGATATATACTTTGTGATGGATTATTTGTCTATCTCTGCGTTGAAGGTCATGTTACATCAATTAATAGACATCAATGAAGGGAAAAAAACAATTATGAGATCAAAGATAGGATATCATATTCCAAAGGGAAACTGATCATATTCAATTGCTCAGAAAAGGATTACAAGAATGATGTAATGTCAGTGCTCTGCTATGACGATGGAGCTGAACAGAAAGGCTAACAATGGCCAGAACTCTGGGGAAAAAAAAAATAAACCCATGAAAAAGGAAGAAATATCTAATACATTCAACTGAAAATAGTTGTTGTCGTTTCCATGGATCATAGCCAATATGATTACCAGTGCATGCTGGTTCAAAGGCAGTCCTAGAATTAATTGAAGTTGTGATTCTAGAAACAAGGGAAACAGTGGCTTTTAAATAGTCTGTCCTGTATTCTGAAATTATTTTCCTACACATCTCATCTGTTCATTTCCTATAAGAACTGTAACATGTCTTCATGACCATTTAGAAGCCCAGAGAACTGCAAATCTGGGTAGCAGAAGACAAAGTAAAATGTGAGGTGTAGCTTGCCCTGTCATATAAAAATAAGCAAGTTTGTAATGTTGCAGCTCCAAGCCAGAGAACTTCATGGAAGAAGTTGTGCGCAGCATTTAGAGTAGTTGTGTAATACAGTCATGGGGACCACCTACAAGAAAGAAAATCTGTAGGCAGTGATTTTACAAGTCAGTAGTCTGGTTCTAAAAGAGAAGCAGCAATGATTTTGTTGCCTGTGAAGGTACTGTAGTTTAGTAGGGTGAAGAACCTATGCATTCTCCTCTCAGTGAACCCAAATAATTCCCATCAAGTTTAATAAGAGATGACTGCATATTTTAGGAGAATTAGACCACAGTTAACCATAGCTAATGAGGTTCTTTGCAGTATATGCAGCATGAGTGAAAAACTCTTGACATGAAATTCTGCCCACATATTTCCCTTTTCACAGCACAACGGTGGAGAACAAGTCAGAAATCTATGAAGATGTGGTAGATCCAAGAGGCATAAATCCCCTCACATGTGCATTGTATTCTGGGACAGCCTTAAGTTCCGTATGCACAATGGCGCACAGACAGGCAGGGCAGGCTTGGCTTAGAGGACAACGGTGCCCTATTCTTCAGTGTAAAGCTACTACTGTGTGGCTGTTGTGGTTATGTGGAGTTACAGTTCAGAAGCTGAGTGATTCTTTGCAGCCTTGGGGCTGTTATACAGACAGTGGAAAGGATTTCTTCCCTGGTCTTTAAAGAACAATGCCTTGAATCTTGAAATTTTGTAGGAGTGACATGACAACCACTTGTAATACTTCCTTTAAAAAATTCAGCCCAGAAGGGATCTTTTAAGTCATCAAGTGCAATTCCTTCCTACCATAGGCCTCTTTTCATAAGTTCTATATTATACACAGTTTAAGCTACTGTAAAATTATTTTAGCAGATTGCTTTATTTTCAATTAACCGTTCCTCTTCTTGCTCTGATGTTTTACTATTTGTTTTCTGCATAACAATTATTAATGAGGGTAGTCAACTCTCTCCCAAAATGACAAAACCACAATTTTTATATGGTTCTTCCCTAATAAGAATAAGATAGCTGATACTTCCCTACCTGTATGTGTCCACTGTGCAAAGGCACATGAAATAGCTTTAAGCAAGCTAGGTCAGCAATGAAGGGCTGTCAAATGCAGAGCTCTGTTGAGAAACAGAATAACTTAATCTATTAGAAGCTCTGTATTGTGTCTTAGGAGCCGGTCTGCTGGTGATGCTGCTGGTCCCAGAGCTTGATTGTGTAAGACTAGCTTCAGTTTCTTACTGTGGTGCTGCTGGGTGCACAAAGGATTTATTTCCTGGCAACATTCGCCAAAGCTTATGTTGTAACTGGACTGGAAAAAAAGAGAAAACTCGCAACATACTCTGTTTTGACCTTTCTTAAAAATAATTGTTACCTTTTAAAAATAATAGTTCTGTCTTTTCTCACTCAAAAATCACTTTCCACCCTGTCTTTCTTGCAGTTGCCCAGTGAAAGGCTGCAGCACTCCACTTGCTGGTGTTTAGAAGTCTTATTATGCAGTGGTTAATGTCATGCAGATCATTAGTGCTTGATGCAGTTTGATCATCCCAGTTCCCATAGCCCTAGGTTGTATGTTTAACCAGATCTCACAGAAGCCCACAATCAGCAACCAGATATTGAATTTCCCATAAGTAGTATGGGAACAGGGCTGTGTTATTCTACAGAGTTATTTTTGTAATATTCATTATTTACTTTGATGCAGAATTATCCCTTCTCTTTTCCAAATAATTGTTTATAAAGTAATTTCACATTCTAAATCCAATCATTTTGCAAATAAAAATTTACTTAAAACTTTCTAGGCTCATGGTAATTACAATTAATTTCAATACCTCACTTGACTGCTTGTATCAGAACCTTTAATTGTAAGTTAATACTCCCCTTATCCAGTAGGGTCAAAGCTTTACATGTTACCTTTTGTCTGAAGAGCTTAAATGTACACGTTTCTAATTTTAACCTTGACTTACCCTAATGGTAGAGTATAATGCTTACAGTACTAATAAAGGAACAGAAGAAAATAAGGGAGACAATCTCACCCATGATCATACCGTGAAAAAGAGGAATTGATGCCCTCATCATACTTAACCCAGCCTCTGTAAGTGAAAGTCTTTGTAAGTGAACCAGCCCTGACAGTATGCTCTTCCTCATGCTATTTGTTGCAGGTTGAGACTGGAGATCTGGGAGATGTATACAAGATTCGGGTCAGCTGTGATGATGTGCCAGGCTTTGAGGGTTGGCATTTGAAGTCTTTTCACTTAGAAGAGCTACATACAAAACAAGAGCTGAACTTTGACTGTAAATGCTGGCTCCCTCTTAACAGAGAAGAGAAGGAGCTAGTGAAGGAATTCCCTGCAGTCAGTGAGGACCAAAAAACTTTACCAGGTAAAAACAGTGAAAAGATATAAACAGTGTAAACTGACCTCTTGAAAATAAATCCATGCTACAGATATGATACAGGACGTTGTCTGAATTTGATATCTTCGGTGGCTCTATTGCAACTGTCCTCATATATGCACTGAGAAAATGCTGATCACTTAAGAAATTTTAATTTTCCAGTTAAGTCACATATTGGGTTTCACGGTTGATAAATCTTCCGTATCGTTCTAAGCAGGCAAAACTGCACAATATAATTATACTTTTTAAAGATAAAGCAAATGTTCAAAGACATGGAAATGATTTGTAGTAGACTTACTATTGAATTACTTAGCTTATAATAGCTTTAGTTACTAACACAAGTATCAGAAGTAATCTTTATTGGACAAAAGATTTTCTTGTTTCTATTAGGACTATTTTTTGATATGCTAAGAGTTTCAGAGTATATTCAGAGATGCACTTTGAATGTGAAGACCTTTAGAAGTACCACATTTATTCAGAAAAGTTGGCAGTTAAGTATGAGGTAAAAGTAATTAGAGACATGACTACTTTTCTGAAGTAAAGTTCTGTAAGTTCTGGTCCCTGACTACCTCAAACCTATTTGCAACCTTAAAAGAAACGACAGCATTACATTAGTTAAATGTTAACTCAGCAGGACTGTGCATTATCAATTACATTTGAAAAATTTTGGTTATTCTTTTTGTATGAATATGCAATATATAATATGCAATATAATGATCACATGCATTCTCTGTCAGAAGAAAATCCAATCTGACTGTGTAGGAGTGCATTTATACAGGAGCACTGTAAAGGCAAAAAGTTTATAGTTCTTGTCGTGCACCCTAAATTAATAAGTGCATTTTGTAAATTTTTATACAATTTTTTGTATTTGTAAATTTTTATTTTTATCATGCCGTGCATCCAGATGCTATGCTACATCTCTGCTTTTCTAAGTTACATGAACTTTACGTAGTGTCTTATTCTTTGATCCGTGTTATCTACTGCAAAGATAATTCAGTTTCTAATAGTCCTGGAACAAACTCAAATGAGATCTTGCACAGTGAAATAGAATTGGGCAGAATTTTTCTAGATATTAGTAGTTCTAAGCTGCATAAGTCTAAATTGTTGAAGTTCAGTTTCCCTTGAATTTCTAAGGGAATTAATGGAAAGTCTTCATTAAGCGGATTCAGAAAGAGTGACCTAACTATTTTAGTCACTGTGTGACAGATTTTTTGGTAGGTGCAGAAATGAAAACAAGCAGTGGTCTTACTAAATACTCTGTGTTGCTCTTTTCTTTTAGGTACATCTTGTACTTAATCTAAAGGTTTTTTTTCTTTTTGTACAGTCTATAAGTACGTTGTCTCTGTACATATTGGGGACCGCTGGGGAGCCGAAACTTTTGCAAATGTTTATATCACCCTCTATGGTAAAAGAGGGGATACAGGTGTGAGGAAACTTCATACATCTTTAGCAAAAAGAAGAAAATTTCAAAGGAATAAGGTAATGGCACAAAAAATGCTGTCTTACATGTGCAGGGGTTAGTACTGCATTAAGTGTCACATCTTGCTACAGATGGGCAAGAATTTGGAAACAGAATTTATCTTCCAGTTATTTACAGCAGACCAATGCCAGTGTTAATTCTTTCCCGTAGAAAAAGATCCCCAAGTGATGATAAAGGCTCAACATGAGCACACAGAAAACAGATTACAGGGGAGGACCTCTGTGATCTTATTTCTTCCATTCCAAATATAGGGCAGCACAGGTAGCAAAGAATTAAAAATTAGTGATTTGAAATGAGTTACAGAAATTACTGTGAGACTTTTGCAATCAATGATGTTTCTGTAATCAAAATCCCACATAAAAAACAACAAAAAACTGTGTAACAGGGACAATACACAGGAATTAGGCAAGTACTACATTTTTTAGAGATCACTTTGCTAATATATGTATTTTTTTTAGTTGTCCTGATATCTGGGTTAGTAAGTTCCTGCTATTGAATTAATATTTTATTGGAATGATGGTGTTAATTACAATCCTAGAGATTGTTTTTTAAACTCCAGTTGTTTATAAACTTGTTGACCTCTATAAGCTATCATCAGGTCCATCTCACCCTAGTCTAGGCCATGTATAGAACACCTAGCTTTCTTGCAAAACAAGGAAGAATTTAATGAGGTATATAATTTTTCTTTGCATTTCACATTTTTCCTAATCTTGTTGGATTTGTTGTCCCTGTTCTCATCCACTACTCCCCGTGTTTATTTCTCCTTTTTCTTACTCTGCCTTTTCCATTCTGCTTCCCTTCCCATCTCTCATCTTTTCCTCAATTTTTTCCCCACCTTCATCTTAACTTCCTCTCTTCTATTGCTTACTCTTTTCCCCATTTGTGATTTCCAAAATTATTTTCATTTTGTAAGAAAAACAAAAAGGCAGGCTTGTCTGACTATTGGAGAAGAATTTAGAAACTATCTTGGAGTGAACATTTTCTTTATGATTATTACTATATATCCAGGTTTGTATGACAAATTTTAGAATTTGTAAGTACCCTGAAAGATATAAATTTGATTACAACCAAAATCTTGTCATAACTGCTTGACTCTCAGAAGGCTGAGGTATATGCATTTATTGTAATACGATCCAAAGATCAAATGAAGTTACCATGCATCTTTAATGATGAATATGGGATTCAATATTAGGTATAATCAGTGTGTGCTCCCTTTGATTCAGAGGGAGATGTTATGCTAAACATTGCCAAAAAACAGACATAAATTTTAAATCCTCAGCTGAATCCAGGACTACATTTTCCCTGAAGTTCAAGCATATTTGGTTTCAAGCTCTGTTTTATTAAGTATTTCTCTTTTTTGCAGGTGGATTCATTTTTGGTGGAAGCTGTTTCTCTCAGTCATTTGCAAAAAGTGGTCATAGGACATGATGGAGAAGGCTATGGGGCTGGGATGTACCTCAAGATGGTAACAGTCAAGGAATCACAAGACTCAGATAAAGAATGGGTCTTCCCATGTTGGAACTGGCTTGATACTCATCTGGGGTTATGTGAGACTGTTTGTGAGATTGTGACAGTTGGTAAGCTTTTCTGCAAAACTAACCTGCCTGTTTCTGTATATATATATGTGTGTGTATGTGTATATATAAATATATATATATTAAATTTGGCTACAGCTCTTACAGATCTCTATAGTATCTTTATTTTATTCAAAATATGATTTTTTGGTTTGATCTTACTATTATAGCAAAACCACATCTAGTAAGGCTAAAGTTAATCAAATTTCAGCCTGTCAATGTGCTGTGTATGGAACACTGACCTTCCAAAATGAAAGATTTAAAGCATTTTTGGATGTGTGCCTCATGAGGATAAAAAGCTTAAATTTTATGCACTACTTTCAGGTAGCTTAGGAGCTCATTTGAAATCCAGAGAAAAGTTACTTTAGTGAAATGATGCTAGTCTTTACCTGTGGTGTTATTCCACAGCACAAAGCAACAACTGTGGTATGCTCAGTTTCTACTCATTTCAAGCCTACTACACCACACGTTGTGCAGCTCTAAACTTGGATGTACTTGGCAAAAGAACACTTACAGTAGTACATTTGGTCATTTAGAACTAGTAGAAAAGATTCCTTCCTTCAGTCCTGTGAAAACAATTCCATGTAAAGTAAATGAGCTACAAAAGTTTGCCCAGAGAGAGTAAAACAGATTAAAAACACAAGGTGTACATAACAGATATGCAGGTATTCAGTTGCATGTTTTTTCTGAGCTGTAGCAAATACATTTTACTGAGCTGTTCATTTCCATTACATCATTTGCATTTCCTACAGAATGGTTTAAACAAAATGAAAAGTAAGGATAACAGTAATTAATGAAGAAAAAGAGAGGGAGATATTAATATTGATCTTCTGAGGATCTGGTAAATATTTTTGTTTATTATAGGTTTACCTGTCAGTCTCACACTATTACAGCACATGTTATATTGCTAGGTAAGATCTAGTTACAAGTGGAGTTCATTGGTATTACTCATTTTGTATTAGGTGCCTACCTGCTACATATGGCTGGGGCTTTGAAATGATAAAGTGGGGTCAGTAACACTGATTTTTTTTTTTTTTTTTTAAGAATAATTAATTAGACCTCTAAAAGGTGACTGAATGTTCTCTTAGTAATTACTTCTAAACATGACAAGGAAAATGCCTTGACATCAAGCAAATACCTCTGAAACTAAATTTTAAACACTGAAAGAACATTAAGATGTTAAATTCTTGGCAAAAAAAATATAATGAAGGTATTGATGTGTTATTCTCAGTGAACTGTTGCTATAGATACAACATAACCTACAAATAGAGCTTTGTTTGTGTACCATAAAGGCCACTATCTTGTTATATTATGCCATTCTATCATGCTGTCATCTTTCCTCTTTCTCTGATAATTTTTAAAGGTAGAAGATTGATTTCTAGTCCTAAACTGCCTGAAATCAACATGAAGTCATCAGGTCTCTGGATAATGGACATCACGGGATCTGAATTGAGCAGTGAAGAGGATCCAATACGCCTTTCTTTTGTCTTCTATGGCAACCTGAGTCACAAAAAGTTGCCACTTCAAGTTACAGGAAAAGCAATTCAGATCAAGGTACTTCAACCTTTCTCTGTTGAAAGAAAATCCTAAGAATCATGTAGATGATAACCCACTTAATTCTGGGATAAATTGTTTCCTTAAACTAAACTACCAAATTGATTTTTAAGTCCTGTAGTACTTTAACTGTGAAACCAGGGCAGTCCTCTGTGTAGTTTGGTACAGCTCATCAATTTTGTTTGTAAGTAGCAACACTGTCATTTGAATAATGCTATTTTTGAATGAACAGATTCTCCCAGTGGCTCATACGGAGAATGCTTAAGTGAGTGAATTAGTCCCTTGGTACCTATCACAGTATATACCACACTGCAGGTGTTGATTTACAGGTTTTGTTGATCCCACAAAAGTAAGTCATTTGTAAACATACAATATGCCATGGGACACTATAGAGCTTTTGGGGCCAATGGTGGGGAAGGAAGAATCATAAATGAAATGAAACTTACAGAAAGTTACTTTTTCTCTTTAATGCAATTTATTAATCCCTGACACCAGGTTTCTCCAGGCTAACTGCCTTTTCTTGCAAGGTTTCTCTCTTTTTTTACCTGTTGTTATCACTTTCTTTTTCCTCTTGACATCTCCTTTTTACCCACCAATTTTCTCCTTTATTCAGTTCTTCTGCCCTTCCATCGTCTGTCTTCACTTCCTCCTAATACCTCTTAATTGAAATATTAACAGTCATCTGAGATCTGCTTTCATTGATTTATAGTCTGCTTCTTTCCCAATTTTCTTACTTCCCTCTTGTAGCTATAATTCCTTCCCAGTGCCAAGACTGTGTTATTCTTATGCTTTTCTGGTTTTACTTTCCATGAAAGACCAGTTCAGCAGAATTTGGAACTGACCTTCAGGTAAACACTGGAGACACCTCCTCTGGCTCAGGAAATTCCTGATCCACAAAGTGTTGGAAGCTAGGACAATATTAAAAGGAAGTGTGACTACTCTTTGACCTGTTCTTGTACTGCTTGTTCCATCCTTCTGTCGTCCTTTATGGGTTTTGAGGAAATGGTTGATCCTGGTGAGAAAACTGGAAGTTTTCACCTTGATCAGTTCCTCGGCCTTTGTTTTAACCTTGATTGGTTCATCCTGCAGCTGCAGAAACAAATATAAGGCAGGACTAAGGGAATGGGAGCAAGTGGGCAGACAGGGTAGTGGGAATTTCATATGCCAGTTTTGCATCAGACAAATATGTCCATGAAGGTACATCCTGAAAGTTGTTTCTTCAGGACTGACTGCTGGAACCATGGAAGCAAGTAGAATCATAGAATGGTTAGGGTTGGAAGGGACCTTAAAGATATCTAGTTCCAACCCTCCTGCCATGAGCAGGGACACCTTCCACTAGACCAGGTTGCTTAAAGCCTCATCCAGCCTGGCCTTAAACACTTCCAGGGAGGGGGCATCCACAACTGCTTTGGACAACCTTTTCCAAGTAGCAAGAGAAAATCAGGGGGAAAAAAAGGGGTGAGGAGAGCACCCACAAAAAGTCCAAAGACCGTGTGAAAATATGTTACTTTTCATTCTGGGGTTCATCAGAAAGCAGCCTTGGAGTTGTGAATGAAGAAACAGTTTCCTAGTTTGTTTTCCTACTAGTCAGGTAAATTGAACTTAATGATCAAGCTAAAGGAATAATTGCCTGTTTTTTGATGTTCCTCTTCTCTTTAATGAAAGAGAAACTAAGCAGACTAGCATAGACCATAAAGATGATCCAAAATGTGAAGGATGAAGAAGGTTTTCCTAAGTTATTTCCAAGAACATCTGGTAAACATAAAGAAAAAGTATGAATCTGGAAGTGTCCTGTCAGAGGAAAGGCTGAAGTCAGGTCACATGCACTTCTACTAGCTAGTCAGCATTTGGAATGAAAGAGCAGGAGAAAGACTATAAGTAGAGAACAGGAAGAGAAAAAGACAACTTCTGTTTTCTCCCTTCTTTTTCCCTTATAGGGAAAAACTATTGGTTTAAAACCAATAACTATAGTTATCTAAGGCCTCCTCTGCTTTAACTTAAGCAATGGAGATGCTCTGCTATCCCCAATAGAACTGGATTTTTTCTTAAGCATGAATGCAAGAAGAGGAAGATTTTAATGGACAGCTTCTATATGAAAATATTATGTAGGTTGAAGATGTAGGATCTCTTGGGTGTTTCCTCAAAATCAGATTAATTCTCCTTCAAATTTATAGTTAATTGCACCATTTTTATATTACAAGTTGCAAGAAATATTTCTATATAGTGTTCTTAATTTTTAGAAATGACTAAAGCTTCTGTGCATGCAAATTGTCTACTCAATCAATGTAATATATATGAACACTGCGCCTTGTTCTGTGTACAAATTTCAGCAGTTGTTCATCTGAACATCATTTGTTCAGATGATATCAAACCTCAAACATTCCATCTCCTCATTCACATTAGTAAATCAATTTTGTATTGATTAGAAAGAGTAAAAATAGTAGCAGCTGCAAATCTGCCCCAATTCTTTAACTACTGAGGTTTGTTCAACTGTTGCATACAGCTGTCAACTACGTTTGATCTGGCACAATTAGAATGAGATCCATTAATCTTCTCTCTTTCTTCACGTAGGATGAACTGGCAGATATTGGCTCAATATACAAAGTACAGGTAACTGGCCCACATAGCAAGCTAAAACAGTCATGGCACCTAGATTTACTGCATATGAAGCACACAGGCACAGAGGAAGAGATGTATTTAGCTTTTAACTGCTGGTTCAACCCTAATGAAGACAAATGTGTGGAACTGCCAGCTCTCTATGCAGATCAGGAGCCTTTACCTGGTAAGCTAAGTCCTTTTTTGTCACTGGGGTTAGGATCTGTCACTGGAATACCTGTATATCTCTTTTGAGCCTAAAATACTGTGTGAGAATTTCCACAGAAATTTTATATTAAGGAATATGATGGTTTTGCCTATGGATTTATCACAAAAGAAAGCTGAGAAAACAAAAATTTTTGGTATCAGGATTATGACAGGTGCTATAACTGCTGACACCAAACATAGAATTTGGCTTCTTCAGTGCTAGATGATGTTCCAGTGTTAGCTCCTGATTATTTGTTGTCTCTTCTAATAAACACTACGTCAACTGAAGATGTGTGTCATCTGCTGTGTGATATTACCCCAGTAACTTTCTGTTTTGCACTATGTTGGCTTATATCTGAAACATCTTTTATAAATGAGATTGGGGAGAGATGAAGAATGGCAAGGTTGAATAGAACTTCATATTTTAGCAGATTTTTGTTGTTGGGTTACGTTGTTTATCTGATAGCGAGAATGGTCCCAAACTTACCCTAAGAACTTTTATCCCATTTCCCAGCATCTCTTTTGTGTTATGCCTTCCTTCATAGGGGTTACTTTGTATATTTTTGTTTCACTTACGTAGTGGAATAGATTCAGCAGATTCAGCTGAAAATACTGACTCAGTAAAAACATCAGATATATTTCTAATTTTCAGTGTGTATCTCATTTGAACACTACTTGTATGGTTAAAGTTAAGGTCATGATGAAGTATATTAATGACTCTGGACAAAATCGGTAAATATAATTGTGAGCACTGTGATTTCTAGTCCGTGCTACATGAGTGTTCAGATGTGTGGATTAAGCTCTTATGATGTTATGCACACAAGTAGCCTTTTGACTTCAATGAATCTGCTTATATGACTGAGGTATACAGGCAAGGCAACACTCTAGGTGAATGACACAGAGTCTTGCCTTCATATCCTAACACCTCTAAAAGTAAAATGGACATTGGCTAAATGCCAAAGAGTCACCTGGACAGCTCATCTACTTTCAACTATCTGGATCCCCATCAAGAGCAAGTCTGTGTCACTTCACTGACTTTAATGCAGCTATATTGTCTTTCACCTGGCAGTGCATTTTTAACTGCCTTGAAAAAAAGAATGAGATACATCAGGGCCCTAGCCTAGGAAAACTCTTGGTTTATTGCTCATCATCAAACATGAGCAATGCTGTCAATTACAAGTCCTTTCAGAGCTCTTGGTTTAAATAATAATAATAAAAAAAAATCTGAAGGGAAGTCCCTAGAAGTAAAAAAATAGTGCTGTAGTGAAATAAAGTTACTTTTCAGAAAACAGGTTTTCTCAGATTTCTTCCGCATGTAGTAAAAGATTAAAGGAAACAAAGATGTTTCAGAAGTTTGTTGCAATGAGCACACCTTTATTAGCAGCCTGATAGAGCCCTTATTATTTAATGAATACTTCTGGATGTGAATTTTTCAATCCATATGCAAACCCACCCTTTATGACCCTTGTTCTAGTGATGTGACCTTTTTATTTTAGACATATAAAGAAATAGCTATATAAGATGTCAAAATATTTGAGTTCAGGCCTTTTGTTATAACACTCAATATGAATAGCACCAACATGTGAAAAGAACTGTGAGAAAAGCTTAAAAATAAATATCCTCAGAACACTTTTTTTTTTACTTTCTATTTTCCTATCACCTACTCATGAAAATAAATAACAGCCTTAGCTTCTGGGTTCTAACAATCATTCTCAAACCTACCAGAAATTTTACATAATTATATCTTTTTAAAGGATGTACAATTTAGCTAAATTGGACCACTTCTATCTTGGAATAAATTTGATTCAAGAAGCAAACTATACTGAAAATATCAGATGTTTCCAAGATCTATACTCAGATATTTGTGCATCCTGTGATGTATTTTAGACTGAAATCTGTATTTCAGACTTGAATAATATGTATTTCAGTGCTCTCTGGCTTGTACTGTTAATTATGAGACCAAAAGTGCTTCTTATTTGCTCTTTGATTTCATGTCTAAAGCACCATTTCCCTTTGAACACACACATTTCCTGGGAACGCAGACGTTGTACAGTCAGCCAGGTCCTAGGTAGGAACAAGCAGCAGAGTGAGACTGGAAGATTTTCTCCAGTCCATAACTGTGAAGCTTGTGACAAAGAAGTTCAAGAGATAATATATGTGTTCTTGAATACATTCTTTGTATGTGTTACTTATTAGGCATTGCTTATTGCTCACATCCCAAATGTGACTTTGCATTTTACGGTGGGATAAAAGTGGTTTCCTCCTCCTGAAAAATATCAGAAAGTTGTGTTTTACAAACCTGTGTTGCTGCAAGGTAATAGTTTTTTTTCTTAGACCGAAGTAATGATGTTTGTGGTTGGAAGCAGAGGAACATTCAGATCATCTAAGTTTAGACTCCTAACTTTTAGTGTCTGTCTCTAGAATATATGGGAACCCACCACAGGTGTTTCCTACAGCACTTGCCTTCCTCTGCTGACTACAAAAAGATCATACTCCTGACTTAGCTACTGAAGTTAGATTCCTGAAGTGACAGCACCAGCATTATACAAATGAGCAGAGTTTTATTAGTGATCTGAGTAAGAGCAGATTTACAACACTGCGGGGGGGGGGAAACACCCCCAAAACCCCCTTATTTTTCCTGAGCTCCTTGTTAAAATGATGCAAATATTGAGACTGTGACCTGCTTCTATTTAAGTGTTTCCTTGTTCCATGATAAGCTCAAGGGCTAATATAGGACATTTTAAAAATGAACGTAGGAGTTTTCCATGATGTTTCTTTGGAGTTAATGCTGTCTGATCTCACCTGCATCACTCCCCTGTATATTATGTCATAAAGAGGCAGGGAAGCCGACGTGCCACATAATGACCACAGGTATCTCTTCTAATTGCTATACTATGACCACAGTTGAGAAAATCAGGAATACTTTCCCTTAAACTCAAATTTCACTTAGCTGATCTGTATTTGTGGGTTATTATACAGTACCTGGGAGGCTTTTTGGAGATTGATACAAAATATGAAGAGGTTTTTCTATTTATGTATTAAAGCTGGTGAAATAATTTTTAATTAATTATTTCTGTTTCACATTAATATGTTTTAACTTCAAGAACATTGTAATAGTATTATGGTTTGACTTGTGAGAAAGCTTGATAATCCTGATGTGTTCATTAACTGGGAGATAGTTAGATGAGTTTAAAGCTTAAGACAATGGGTCCTAGCTTTCTTCTAAGCCACTTTATAAGTATCAGCTCCCATTTCATTTTGAGGAGAAAATGGTACACACAGAGGGAAGGAAGGAACAAAGAAATATGAGTAAATAGGCTTAGAAAGCAGACCTTAGACTTTCCAAAGAGCATGTAAACATGCTAAATTTCTTAGAAAGGGATTTCCTACTTTAGGGGAAGGGGACAGTACCTAGGAGATCCTGTGCCCCAAGCAGCAGCCAGTAGGGCTGATTTTCTGGGAGTGGTGTCAGAGCAGAACAAATCTGTATTCTGTGGATTGCCAAACAGGGAGTTAAAAATGTTTTGGTTACATATGTCACCAGAACTGAAGAGACCTGTGCTCCCTCTTCTGTGGCACCGTATGGGATTCATATGAAATATTCAGGTGTTGGGCAAGAAGACAAGGAATATTTTCTCCTGCTGATTTTTTGTGTTTACATGTTTATTTTTTTCCGAAGTTGTGGAGTATGCAATCCATTTGCACACAGGAGACTTGAAGAAAGCAGATGCCACTGGTGAGGCCTATCTTTGTATACAAGGAGAAAAGAGTGAGTCGGGGAAACGATGGCTTAACTCAAGAAACAGCCTGACCACTTTTGCTAGAGGACAGGTAAAACAATGAGAAAAAATGTAACTGAATCTGTAAGTGTGTTTTTGTTAAAAGTTATGTTTACATAAAAACTTCCATGGACAGAGTATCAAAAATATTAATGTTTTATATTCCATAGAGACATAGTTTTCTCTTGTAAGTAAGAGGTGATTGTCTCCATAGGTAACATATTACTTTTAAGCCTCATCAGCATTGCCCAACAGTGAAACAGTTAAGTTGAAGTAATTTTGAGTTGGACTAAATATATTCTATGAGTTCTATATTAATATTGCAGACTTTTAAGGTCATGGAGGAAACAGTGCTTTGTTAACATATGCCTGATTGATAGAACTGATAACATTTCTGTGGGATAACTTACCTTTGTACCTACTTTAGACCATGACCTTTTCTTGTTAACTTTCCTGAACACTAACATCAGTGTTCCAAGCAGAGTTTTATTATTTCATGTTTCCAATTCTTCCACCCACTTATTGCTTTTAAACATGGTAAACATATTCCTGCTTTTTGAGGCTTAAAGAGCTTTTCCTAGAAGAGTAATTCCTGGAGTAGTTATTGGCATAAGAACAAAGTAACTAAAACAAATTTCAGATCAAATGGAAATATCTATTTCAGATCAAAAGGAAATGTCTAGCTGACACTTTACTAGACCCTACTGTTTGCTCTGAGTTTAGGTTTGGAAGATTTTTTATTTTTGTTTTAAGGGAATAATAAAATCATTGCCAAGTACATAGGAATCTTCTTTTGGGAAGGGAAGGAGGGAGAATTTCGTTGTTGCCAGTCAGCCCAGACTAGTTTGTTTTTTGTTGCAGAAATCTAGAGAAAACTGTTTGTGATATCCTACTTTTCTTCTTTATACTTGCCTCTGTTTATTTTATCTGCTTTTCTTTTCACTTTTAAAGATTCTAGAAGACACAATGGTTTTTATATGAAAACTAGACTAAATCTATGTTAGTCATTAAGTCCTCTGTATTCTTATATTTTCTTTCTACATTGTGGAAGAGAATATGCATGCCCAATATCATATTTGTCAAGAACTGATCGAACTGCTAGACTTCACAAAATAAATCTGAACATAGTAATGAAAAGATAGTAGTGCTCATGTGGCTTTAAGAAGTAATATAGGAAATTTTATAGATTAATCTTTTAGTGATATAGGCAATAGTTATATATAATACATCTTAAAACCTTAGAGAAATCTGAATAGCAAGACTGCTATAATGGATAAGGTAGCAGTACAGATTGAAAGAGGGACTCATCCATGTTCATGAACTGTCCTGAGCTTCTTTTGTATTTTTTATTTTGTAAGAACATATGTTGAATTTTCTTTAAGAATAAAAGTTTTAGAGAAAAATGTGTGAGCAACACAATTGTCTTCTGTGAATACTCACTCCAGTAGAAACATAACTAGTCTGCAAATTCACAGGATTTTTTTCTGTATAATCCAGATTCTGTGTCAGTTTTTGAATGTGCCTGTTAAGTAGGCTAAATCTTTTGAAACTCTAAAGGACTTTTCTATATATTGGGCTATAGCACCCTAACAGTCGTCTTATAGAAAACACTGTTAGCATATTCATTCTCTTAGTTTTATTTTCTCCAACTTTCCCTCAAATGCCTAATTCTCTGTTCTTAAATCTTTGCTCTTTTTTTCTAGATGACTCTAGTGATCAATATATTTCTCACAGGTAGCACAAATTTTTGTAAGTCATTATACTTGGCAGAAACTATGAAAACAATACAAGGTTTTTATTTTTTTTTTCAAACCACCAAATTAGTCCCCAACTTTTGTCTTCAAATTACATTTTCAATCCAACATTTTTAAGACAACTGCTTCTGTCTACAGCAGGATAGCTCCTGAAATCACAAGAAATAAAATAGCTTTACTTGTGGGGATTTTATTGCACAACTGGTTTCCCAAAATAGTAGACAAATCTATTCATTAATAGTATGTTTCCAAACCCCAGTGTCAGTGTGCATACTCATGTGAGCTTTCCATTGATAATGAAGGAAGATGACAGCACCAAGAAGACAAACGTTTATATGCTAAGAAGGTGAATATGATACAAAGATTTACAGTATGGAAAAAAACAATCCATGAGGTCTATTTACCATGCAAACCTGTTGTATGTGGAAAATGTGACCTATCATAGAGATGAGTTCAATGAAAAATCCTTACCCCAGTAGCATGGTGGTTGAAACCTTCCCAGATACTAATCACTTGATTCTCATTTGCCTGGCTAATTCCCACTAAATTACCTGTGAATTTTAGTGAAAATGAAATTACTTCAGATTGATTTTCAGAATTATTAGACACCTATTTTTCATCAGTTTCATCGGGAGATAGGTTCTGGATCAAACTTACAACACAAGAAGTAATTGATCTGGTTTGGTTATTTCATTTCATTATGGTACTAGAAATGAGCACTTTATTGCCAGTGTGTGTATATGACTTTTCTAGAATTACTTAATATTTAATACAGTAACTTTTTGAAATTCATAATTCATAATATTCACTGGATCAGAAAATATCAATTATAGCATGTAATGTTTAATTATGAACTCAAAAATGACAGAATGGCATGAAGATAAATTTGCTTCCACTGAGATACAAAGTAGTGACACAAAAGGCTAAACTGATAAACATTCAAAAGAAGATGCATATTAATTAAAATGTCATTTAAACATTTTCATTCTTCAGGTGGATGTTTTCAAAATCAAAGCAGTATACCTTGGCAAGTTGAACCAAGTTCTTGTTGGATTTAAAAGTCCAAAAAAAGGTCAGCGATTTTTTCAGTTAATATACAGTATTAATAATATAGATTATCACATTTAGGAAATCATAGAACTTCAGAAATATCTTAAATCTAAGATTAAAAATCACAACTTTTTTTTTAAGTTCTAGAAAATTTGAAATTTCTCTCAATTTTCTACTGTTCATTATTTCTGTTGGACTATATGTGTCAAGTATCCAGCTTGATTTTAAGAAAATGTGCAAAGCTTTCAAGCGAATGTAGTGACATTGTAAAATGCCAAAATGATGTGTGAAACCTTTCTCCATAAAAGGTACTATGACTGACCAAATACAGTCAACAATGCTTTCGGTTTTCAGGAAGCAATATGTCATCATGCTTATGCAATTTTTGCCTTTTTTAGTTACTCTCCATTCTTGGATGATCAACATTTTCATTTTAAGACAAATTATTTCAGGACTAAATTCTTCAAGGTAAAGATAAGTACAGAAAATCAGTTAATCAGATCAGGAACATGGAAGAAAGGCTGTTCTGGCTTTTTTTTCTCCTAATGCATTAAAAATATGTTCCTTTTCTAGGGGATTCTGGATATGTGAGGTTGAGTGGCAGATAGAAGGCTGCACTTCCTGCAGCATTTTTTCTCGTCCTCTTTCTAACCAACAGCTGTTGGGGTGAAAGAAAATTGCTTACTTCTTAAAAATAGCAACAGCAAGGAGCATAATAATTTGATATTTTCTTCTAATTTGTCTGCAATTTTGGCCTGGCAGTTTTTAGAGGCAACAGAGCAAAGAGTCTACAGATATCCTACTCCTGCAGATAATCTTGATAATGGAGAAACAATTGTTCTAGAGCATGATAAACTGAATGTTTTGTTCTTTTATCTTTATAAAAACCTGAGACTATAAAATGACCATGTAGCTTAAACTCAGACTCAGAAAGAAAAACTGATTTGGGGACTATTTCCCATTTATTCCCTAGATGGTAACGTTGAAATGAATTATAAAACTTTCATTGACTTCACCAAGACTTGGTGTATAGTCAAGTTTGCTGAGACTCAGAGGTCTTCAAATAGTTTTTTTCCAGAGAATCAGCACAATTACTCCAATCAAGACAAAACCTTCAGCTAAAGTTTGTACCTTATTAGATAGCACAGAACCTCACTGGAAATGAAGTTTTATGTTGAATGGATTTTCTTATGGTTAATGTGGTAGAAATCCTGAGCCTTCTTCCTTTAGGACATTTATAATATCATTTCTGTGAGGAACTTCTTGAGTCCAGAGATCTCCTACAGAAGTCTTTCCATCTTTTGGAGGACTAATAGATCATTTAATCAAATCTATCCCTATGTTTAATTTCACAAGATCTGTAAAAATTTAAGAATTTTTCACTCTCAAAATTTTGGAGTATAGGGTAACAGACAGCAACATGTACACACGCAGCCAATGTATTTTCAGAAGTCTCCTTTCCTGAAGAAATCCTGCAAAAGAAAACAATTTTTAATTTTCTAAAGATAGAAACATGACTGCATGCACAGAATATTTTGGTGCTTAAAAGGTATAAATTAATAATGTCCTGTTTATTTTCAATCAGATGAGTGGTTCTTGGAAAAAATTGTTATAAAAGAAGTCCTCTACCCTTTTTCTGCACATGTTTTCGTTCACAATGACTGGATCAATAAACACTCCAAGAAAGATTTTGTAGAAGTGGCAATTCCACTCAAAGGTAATACCAGCAGAAATGTCTTTCATTTGCATTTATCACTCCTGCATGGCAGAGCAGAACCAAGCCAGCACAAGGCTACTTCACAATGTTAGCTGAACTGAATATTGGTACCCCAATGGTGAGGGGCAGGGGCCTGGACCAAGGTGAATCATGCCTGCTGTAAACAAGGAGAAGGAAGAAATTATGCCTGGGATGGAGAAGGTGGAACTGGCAGTGTTGAAAGAGTCTGCTCTCAGCCCCTCCCCAAGTGGCAGCAGGCACTGGCAGCATGTATCCTGTCCTTGGAACAGTACAGAAAAGATAGGCATGGCCCCTACATGAGTGGGACACGGATTCATGAAGCTGCTGGTCTGGTTTTCTACACCTCCGCAGGGCTAAAATGAGTAATGGTGGTTTTGTGCTTTGCTGCCTGACGTGTCTGTGATAGATCCAGCACTATCAGGCAATGTAATTTTGTATCTTTTGACTTATACTGCCTTAATGACCTAGACATGGGCTCTGAATATATGTTTGCTTTCAATGCAGAAACATCTGTGACATCTTTTCTCACAAAAAATGTTGATATTAAAAGCAGAGGACTATGGCAAATGTGGGTGCACTGCATGCAAGTACCAGAAGATGTTCCTGATATTCAAGTTGTTGTATTTGGAAGTAAAGGGAAATCTCCTGCACAGAAAGTTCAGAATTTGAATGATAATCCATTTTTGGTCAGTTTCCTTTTTGTTTCACACAAATCTTACCAAATCATTTCAGCAAAGTAAGAGTTGTAGCCAACGTATGTGAAGTTGTGTGGAATGTTTTTTTGTCAGAGTTAATGTTTATATCTCCACGTCGTAAATAAACAGCACTTGGAGAACTTCTCACATGTGGGCTATTACAGATCGCTTCTGAAAACTCTCTTGAGCAAATGCCAACTGTGACATGAAAAGCCTTGTTAACTTTGAGTTAAGACTAGTAGGCTTTAATACTAAGGCAATAAATAATGAAGCTATTCCATGCTTCCTTTACATTCTACTTCTCAAACCTCAACTAATCTGTTTTCACTGCTTAGAAGCTGTGTCTCTCTACAGTGAGCTTGGGCCTGGGCAAACATAAATTCTGTAGTTTGCACATTAAGTTAATGGCAACTTCTGGACAGGTGTGTGAACCTGGATCACCTCTTTCAAAGGGTTTTTGTTCTTAAACATTGAAAAAAAAAGTCATTGTCATTTTTTTCCAAAAAGGCAATATAAACATCGCTTGATTAACTGCTGCGAGATGAAAAACCAGAAGCAACAGTGTGTGATACGACTTGCAGACACCAGCCACCCTTTCTTTTGAGCACTCAAATAACCGAAAACAGAACCAATAACCAGGACTAAAAATCATCTTGAGTTCAAATTTCAGTTCAAGTTTGAGAATAAAGATGTGATGGAGAGGAGCTAAGTAAGAAAGTGAAGAGAAAATAATAATAGTATGAATGCAACTTGGAAAAATAGAATCAGTTATGCATTTCCTTGCTTTTCATGTTGGCATAGGCTCTGCAGCCAGTTCTCCCAGTTAAAAATAGACATAAATTGTAGTACAAATGTGAGTCCAAATTAACTTGCAATCTGGATGGGACTTCCTTACCCTAACATTAATGTCCATACTAGTATTTTTACCTATCTTATTTATCTTTTTACCTCATTTTAGAGTATGTCATTCAAATTGTTACATACAACATATAGTTAATTTTTTATTTCTTTATTTTTCTAACAGTTGACTGTTGGTGATATTGGAGATATAACGAAAGTTTCCTTTGTGTTATCTGGTCCATGCTTGGGAAGAGGAATTAAACTTCACAAGGTATTCCAAATGCAGTAGATATAAACTTTTAATATTCTTTATAATACCAGTAAATACCTTTTGTTGAGAGAAAGATTGTTAGCTTTGCTTTGCACCGCACTAGCAAGGCCACGCATCTTTTGGCTCAGTTACCTGGTATCTACAGATGATTGCCTATAGCTTCCAGATCTCTTTGTGGGCAGATCTACCTTGTTTGTGCCTGCTGAAGTGCATGTAGCTATACTTATTCACTGATGTGCAGATTCATTCGGCATATCTCTTCATTACATGGAAGGCAGTGTTTTCTGTTGATGTTTGGAACTGTTAATCCCTGCATGAAAATACCAACAGTCTCCTGACACAGATCAACCTATTTGTGGAAACCAATTAAGCTGTTACTTTAGTATTTATTCATTACAACACAGTCATCAATGGGCCTTAAACATCTGATTGCAGTTTAATATCTATTTAAGATCTCTCATAAAACGGGATAGAAAAATGATTTAATGCTGTCAATCTTATAATTCAGGCAGATTTTAAATTTATACCTTTTCCTAGGGTGAGTAGAAAAATTTATTAGAAAGGTGTTGGGCCTGATAATACTTGGATTTTGGGGAAATACTTAAACTTGAAGGTTAATGCAAAGAAAAATTGTGTCAATGAGCTCTGCCTGTAGCCAAGGGGCCAAAAAGTATTCTGGGCGTAGCACTGAATTATTCTAAAGTTAGTAAAAGAATGTTTTTTCTAAACTGGGCCACACAGTACCTTTAACCCTACTATGGATTTAAAAGATCAAAGGGTGATTCAGTTCATGGGCTCCGCTCCTCAGAGGATAGAGGAGGAGTTTTTCTTGTTCATATTTTCTCCCCAAATGTGTTCTTTGTCAGCTAATTTTGTAGTCTCAGTTTAGGCTGCAAGAATGGAAAGAACAGATGAGCTAAACTAATTTCTCATTTTAAATATGCATCTCCAGGCCATTTGATAAAGCATTCCAAAAATATGTTGACACTACCCTCACTATATCCATTGTGTGATTCTGTAATATAAGATTTAAGTCTCCAGAACTGGTGGCTCAAAACATGGCAGAAAATTCATAAATATAATAGTTTGCTTTCTGCTTCCTTTTCAAAGGCAACTCTGCAAACGGCTAAGTGATATTTGTTCATATTTTTAAATATTTCAAAAGTTATTTAATAGTTGGTTTATTATTAGCTATAAATTGTTACAATCTAAAAGAAGTCAATAGGTTGCTGTTCTAAGTGCTATCTTCTTCTGGTGCACTTACAACCCACAACATAAGCAACAATAATATATGTTGCTTGTGCCAGTAATATGCTTATAACAAATATTACTCATTTATTAGTCTGTGTATAAATTATTTATACATGAAAGCTAAAATGTAACAAGTTGGTTTCACTTAAATAGGAGTCTAACAGTGCAGTGAAAAATAGAGATGCTATATAGAAATAGAAAGACTACAGGAGGTACTGAGTATGTGTAAACTCACTGTGAATCAGTGGTAAATCTCAGTGCCAATTTAAAAGAATTCTCTTCCTTGCTTTCTCCTCAAGTGAAAGAAGTAATAACCAAAGTTTCTGCAATGTCACAAAAACACAGATTACAAATGAAACTACAAAGGCTGAAAAGGAGATAAAATCCCTACATTCCTTTTGCTACTCTCTGTTTTCTCTGTTCTGGTGTTTACTGGAGCTTCAGAGTAACAGAGTTTTTCCTATTGATCTCCTATGGTTTTCTGCACACTTCTGTAGAAAATTATATAACCTTAGCTGAAATTTATGTTTTTTCTGTAACTTTCAAAGATTTATGTACTATAGAATGAATAGCCTTTTCTTGCTCAAAAATAGAGTTTCTGGCCCTTTCCAAAATAAAATACAGTCATTTTCATATAGCATATAGAAAACCTACATGATTTGGAGATAAAGTTCACACTTAGATGTAATCTTACAAGTAACAAGAATTTGTCAGGTACATTTTATTTTAAGGCCAAAGTCTGCATAAATTTGCACATCTAATTTTTATGAGCCCAATTTCTGTAGGTTATCTGCCCACATATGCAGGTAACCCTTAGTCTAATTTTAATACAGATGGGAGTTTGTGATACTTATTGATATTTAGGTCTGGATGTTTATATTGACAGAAGTTAGGGAGAATATTTTTGTATGAGAAGAAAAACATTTAGTTTGAGAAAATTTAGTTACTACAAGGACAAAAAGTGAGTAAACAACTGGCTGAAATTTTAGTGGAATTTAATACTATCTAAAGAAAAACACTGTTTATTCAGGTAATCAATGGTTTAATTCTGGAAATGGTCATGGGGAAGCCTTATGTCTTATCAAGTGAAGCAGTGGGCACAAAACATAAACACTAATGAAAAATATTCATCAACAACATTTCTATGAAGTCAAGAGCAAGATAGTCTGACAAAATTTTTAAGAGTGGAACTGTCAAATTCCTAATAATTTCAGTTATATAATTAAATTATATAAATATTTATTAATTTCAAAGCTTGCACTTGAAGTCTATGTAAGGAAATCTGTACTCAGGATTTCCAAACAGTGGTATGTGTATCTTGTACAATGAACCGTAAACTTTTGCTGGTGCTTCTAGTTTCAGGAGTGGTAAAAAGTCACCACAGTAATTTTGGGAAGCCCTGCCCAAGAATTTAAATTACTTAATGTCCTGATGAAATTATTTTTTTGTTTTATTTTGGTTTGTTTTTAATGTCTTGGAGAAAATATTTCTATACGTATAGATTTCAAAGACTGAAGAAACTATTTCTGTCAACTTGCAGTCTTTAGCTATGTATCAAGTTCACTTCTGCATGTAATAGTTACCGGAAATGTTTCGGCATATGCTCGATAGTTTGTCATTCTGTATTTTATAATGTGACTTAGGATAAAGTTCACGGTCTGAGTTGCTGTCCTGTGAATCTGATCTCCACACTGATTGTTTCAGCAGCTAGGATAGGTGGGCTCCAAAAACTGTGTTTCCTCAGTAGGTTTGGAGGTTCTAAGCTCACAAATTTGGAACCTAATTTGTTCAGTCTCCACTGAGTATTTGAAGTCAGTTTAAGCTCACACTTTCTATTGTATTTCATTCTACAAATAACTTATTTCCACAGGGAGCCCCAAAGGCCACTGGACACCTAATTTCTGCCAACTTTGAAAGTGCTAGCTGAGATATAGTGAGTCACATGTAAACAAATAAAAGGTAGCAAAACAAATGTTGTTGCAAAATGAGTATATGCTATTAAGATTGATGTAACTGTATTCATTCTTTTGACATTCTGAAATTGCAAGTATATACAGGTCAATTTAATCTGTATCCTTCATTGGTTCCCTACAAATGGGTCCTATGCTTGTGTCAATATGCAATGAAGAATACACCTAATAAACATCAGGCTGCAGAATCAGCAGCTTGCAGCAGCTACTGTAGCTCTTGTTATGCAGAATCAGGTAGCTTTCATAAAATGTGTGCAGGCGTTAACAATAAGAAGAAATGTCAGTTTCTGTTGGGATGGAAATAAGAAACAAAAGAATTCTCATAAATGAATTTCTTCTTCTGATTCTGCCTGCAGCTTCGGCTGAAAGACCTGGACACTAAACAAGAATTGGGTTTTCACACTGAAGCCCAGTATCTGTTTGGAGAAGATGGATCTGATACTGTGACAGAGCTAGCAGCAGTCAGGCCAGACAAGCCACCTCTCAGGGGTATGCTGCTGAACTAAAAAATAAATACATGAGCAAATGCACAAACACAAAATAGTGAATTGCTTAATGGGATGAACGCAATGGGGAAGATCGCAAAGCATTTTATATATATTAAAAAACCCTACTCAAAATAATTTTAAAAAATTCATTCAGTATACTTGTGTAAACTGTGTAGTGTCTTTAATATTGTGTATTGTTCAAGCAATTCTTCTGTTTTAAAACAACTGCCATGTATTGTTTTAACTAGGTTAAGTACTAATTAGAAACTCTGAAAAATGCATAAAGCCCAATTAATATATTTTTCTTGAAATTTTAAAAAACCGACTGATTTACACTCTGTAAGGGGAAAAAATGCAGATTTAAAAAAGGCATGTGCAAAGGCATAATGGCATGAAACACTAAAGGAAAAAACAGTCTTTTTTGAGGTTTTCTTCAAGCCCCATTTCTGCCCCAGAAGCTCTGTTTCATTTCATCATTGTATTTAAAATATGATAACATCTTCCTTTGTTCTGATTACATTTTATAAAATATTTAGAAAAGAATTCTCATTCATCATTCTCACTCTTCTCTGAACAGAAGTCTTAGTTAAAATATTTAAAACTTTTTGCATTTAATAGCAAACTGAAGGCTAGACTGCAAATGGAAATATATCTTAACAGTCTGTTACAGCATTTAATTCTTCACAGAGCTTACAGAACCCATAAAAAAAAAAAAATCCTCTGTCATGCTGCCTCAAGGAATACGTATTATATAATTCATCAGCCAAAAGTCATGGAAAGCCATCCTTTGTGGTGAAGAATAATAATAACAAGGCATATCTGTATTAATAGCTGAGCCATTTCTCCTGCATATTAATTGATATTAGCCATAATTATCAAAATACCAGACTAAAACAGAATTTGGCTGATCCAGACCAAAGAGTGGATTTGATCTATTATATCTGTGGTTTTAGTTTGGTGAAATGTTTTTAGAGTTGAAAAATCCTAACTCAATTTAAGACCTTTAATCCCTACAAAAATTCAGTGCTTTTTACAAAGCCTGATAAAATCAGTGTGATTCTTTCAGTTGATTTCAGTGACCACTAGATAAGACTCCAGAACTACGACATTTTCTTTTTCTGTAATGTAAGCATGGATTGTTGCATTGATTCATAAAGGACATTTCATCTTTACTGCTGTACTATGCTCTTGTGAGGTAGTTAGCAATCTATATGAAGCTCAGACAGAACATTAATGCCAATTACTGTAACTTCATTCCTTGGTCTTGACATTAATATTTTACCTAAAATAATTTGGTTTATAACGTTTGCTAATTACATTGCTAAATAGTCTGATTTGGTAATGTCTCGTGTCACTGATTTTTCATGACAGGAGTTCTTTACTTGATCAGTGTGCATACGGGAACATTGCCTGCATCAGGGACTGATGCAGATGTATTTATCACAGTATTTGGAGAGCAAGGAGATTCCTGCAAAAGGCGACTAAGTCACTCAAATTTTGAAAGAGGACAGGTTAGTGCTGAGTTATTTCCTTACATGTTTGTTTAATGTGTTTTATTTTATTACTTTCCTCCAGTACCATATTTTTTTTATTTTATTAAATACAAGCATTGATGTTACACCATGGTAATGTGTCGAAAAGATGTGTTGCTTACTAAATATAGAATTTTACCTGAATTGGGATGACAATTTAAGAATAGTTCAAGTAGTAATAAGTTTAAAACCCACAAACCATCAGTACCTGTTGTTAGAAACTGGAATTGAACCCAATGATATATAAATTTCCATGGCTTAGTTTTCAGTTATTTTTGAAGTTGATATAGAAATATTAGGGCTATTTCCTGTTACTAATCCTTTAAAATCTGGGGTTTTTTTTTAAAAAAAAAGATCTGTCCAGATATAGTTGAAAGAGAAGTTTTAAATGTGTGTGTTAGTTAATTCATTTATATATAGAATTGCAAATCCAAGTAAAGCTGCTTGTAAAAATACTGTGACTGCTGAAGATAAATCCTAGGAGATATTTTCTGGTCAACCTCTGCTGATTGCTCTATTAATGATTACATCTATACAACATGTTCACACATACAGAATTATAGTGGTTGCAAAAGACCTTTAAGATCACCGAGTCCAACCGTAGACCTAACACTACCAATTCTACCCCTAAACTGTATCCCTAAGCACCTCGTATACCTGTCTTTTAAATACCACCAGGGATGATGACTTCACCACCTCTCTGGGCAGCCTGTTCCAATGCTTGACTACCATTTCAGTGAGGAAGTTTTTCCTAATATCCAATCTAAACCTCCACTGGAGCAACTTGAGCCCATTACCATACCCTGGATTCAGCCTGGATATGACTAGATAGGATTTAAAGAGACTTTTCAATTGATCACTGTATAATAAAGCAGGATCCTCTATACTTATTTCTTACCATTTCTTAAGACCTCTCATGGCTGGGATGCCATAACTTTCCTAGGCAACCTATTCCACTGCTTTGCTAGCCTTGCCCTTAAACAATTCTTCCTTCATTTGCTTAATAATTTCAAAATATTTTCTTGAGTGTAGAAGCACAGAAACCAACCATGTCATCCTTGTGTTTCAAGGGGAGGTAGATAAGAAAAATAAAATGGCATAGAGAAAATGAATAATTCTACTTTCTCATGAAATACAAGGACTCAAAAGCATTAAATGAAACCTGCAGGTGGCAGATTCAAAACAAAAGGAGGTGGCTTTTTACAGAGTGCATAATTAATGCATTTTACTTTCTGGCACAAGATGTTGCAGATGGTAAAATGCATATTGGTGCAAAAAGCCAGTGCACATTGTCATTCAAGACAACTTTCCACTGAGGGCTGTGGACACAAAGACACAATATCTGGCTCAGGAAATCTCTGAACCACAAATTGCTAAAGCCTGAGAGACTTTATATTCAAGAAGCATCTCTATATATATAATTTTCCCCGTTTTTCAACTCTTCTCTAGAAATCTGTTATTGGTAGCTGTTGGCAACAATATACTGGACTAGATGGACCTGCTTTCTGATATACTGCTAGCAATCTTATGTTCTTTTTACATAGAAGTAGATTAATAAACATGTTGGAATGAGGTTTTAGTGAGAGTATCCAAGAATAGAGGGTGAAAAGAAGGGATGTAAAGAGCAAGCTGTCTTGAGGGACGAGATTATGTCAACAATATCCCTGGAAAATATGTAATGAACAGGCAAAGAAAACAAAGTTAACAAAACCTGAGATACAAATAAAAGGTTCTTTCTTGACTGATAAAGGACTGGAATATAAGGAAAAGCTAGAAAGACAGGAAAGTACAACAAAGTGAAAGAAAAGAGAATAAAGTTGATTTAATTACTGCAGAAAATAAGGCTGGTTTATATTTATTTAAGTAAATGTACATTTAACTTTTTCACCAGTTTAATGGATTAAATAAATGAAGATTGTAAATTTACATCACTAACACTTTATCTAAAGCAAGGAAATTTAAATAAAATACTTCTGGCTTTCTTTCATTAATTGCACTTCCAGTAGTGTGTTCAATGCAGCTCCGAAGGTCTTTGTACAGAGGAGAGGGAAAAAAAGAAAAAAAAGAAATGCGATGACATCAACCAAAAGTACATTCTTGCTAATGCTGAGGGAGTAGACAATTTAATGCATTATTATGAGAATTCATTGATAACAATGGGTGATTATGACCACTGTTGTCTAATGACTGTTAATTATGATCACAAAGAATGAGACTAATGATAGGTCCCTTTTTCAGATAGAGTTAGCTGTGAAGGAACATGAATATTAGCAACACAGGCTATTTCCTCTAAGTCAAGGGTCATGCAGACTGACAAGAAAATTGTATTTGGCTCAGAACTACAAAGAGTAAAATTAAAAAGCAATAAGCACTCACAAAAGTTATTTTCAAGATGTTCCTCATAGCTACATCTTATTTTGGGATACATATGCATTACATGAAGGGGTACAACTTGCTATGGTAACTGTTTGGGGAGATTGTGATATGACAAGGTAAGAATGCTGGAAGTCCTAAGGCTGTGACAGGAATAATAACTCTGATGTTTTCTTTTTCTGAGCACATTGTAGAGAATAGTCCAACACAGACAGGAAAATGAACCAGATGACATAATTCTTTCTAAAATTCATCTCTTCCTTTGTTGCTTTCTGGTCCTCATGCTTTTTCCTGCCTGGTGGCAAATTGGTTGGCAACAAATAAAAATTATAGTGTCTGTTTCTACTATCCATCTGGGGTTTTTTTTAATGTCACCCACACACATACCCATGTATCTACTACCCATCCGCTCATATTCTCTGTTGCACGGAACACATCCATTCTCTCACTCCCATAATTTATTCATCCCAACATGCACTAGTGCAGTTGCCATTTAGCTTTTGTTTACTGGTAGCTGTAGCAATATTTAAACAGATGTCTATTTACATCCAAAGAGCACTTCGGTTCTTGCCTGTATGCGTGCACAGCCTTAGTTATAGTTTCTAATGTCAGTATCTTCTTTGTTTGCATAGTCATCAACAGTGTCAGTATTTATGTTCAGAGCCAAAAATTACAACATTTCCCATTTGAAAAACAGGATGTCTTAGAATATAAAAGACTTTGAAATGTTTAAAAATAAAATGCCTTATCTAAACCAGCATTCAGTTTACTAGGCCTACCCTGAGATTTGAAGCATTCCCTTTGTTTCAGTTATGAGGATTGGTTGAACTTCAATTTTCATTAGACTTATATAAGTAAATTAACCATCAGAGCTTTCTTTCTACCCAAAATAGTGAGATGTTTTTCATAATAAAGCCTGGGATGCAATGATCATGAACAAGGAAAAGTGTGCATATTCAAGGACCCACATATTTCTTGAACAGGGTCTCCAAAGATGAATGTCAGCCTATAATATCCTTCTTTACTATCAAAAAGGAAAAGATACTTCAGTATTGAAAGGAATCTGTCTTTCCAAATGTAATCTTCTTAAAGACATATGATAAAATATATAGTTTGATCAGTTTGCTATTCATTTTGCCTTTACCTTCTCAGGTTTGTATTTCTGAAATGAAAGCAGTAGACCTTGGACAGTTAATCAAAGTGCTTGTTGAGCACCAGAATGTGGGTTATGGAGCTGGATGGTACCTGGACCAAATTGTCATCCATGAATCAGACAAGACTGATGGCCAATATGCATTTCTTTGCCAGCAATGGCTAGACAGTGGAGTTGGTGATGGACAGACGGAACGAATGTTGAAACTTCTTGGAAAAGTCAGGAATGGGATGTTGACAGGAAAGATTTATGGTAAGGTCCAAAATCACCAAAGATCCTTCCAGCTTTTGGTTTAATTGTAATTCATATTATTTTTCAGTTTATTTTGAAGACTAAAACCAAAATCCAGAAATAATATAACTTAAATGTGAGCTGCATTTCTCACACAAATTGTGTCTCCAAACACTTTCCGGAGCTGGTAAAGACAATTATAATGTTCAGGGAGGAAAGACTAGAGCAGAAGGGAGATATTAAGTGATGGAGGCGATGAAGGAGCTATGTTTACAGTTGAGACTAGAAAAAAGCTGAAGCAGAAAGAGGTAGGTTGCTCCATATGGCAGTCAATGCAGAGCAGAAGGCTCCTGCAACAGTGATGGAATCACAAAAACTTCTAGCAGAATGAGATTTTCCCTTATGTTCACATATTTGCAAAAAGTATTTGCTTTTATTTGCAGTTTTCTTTTTTACTTACATCAATGGCACAAGTTCTTGCAAACAGTTAGTTGACCTGAACCCAGTATCTTATTAAAACTGTTTAATGAAAAAAAGACCAAAATTCAGAAACAACTGAAAACATGACGAGTCTCTTATGCTTTGCCAGGATACTGGATTTCTTTGCTTTCTACAGGTCTTTTTTGAAGGGGTGTAAAATGTTGGTTTGGGTCCATTTATGAAATCTGAATCTGAACTAGTAGACTAAACTGTGTGAAGTTTAGCTAATCTGAAGCATGAATTTACATTCTAAATCAGCAGTTTCATAAACTGATCTTTATTAATTCACGGATTATTCATTTTATGCTCAGAGTTTTTTATATTATACATAGTTGCAGACACAGTTAGTAGTGTGTATCCTCATATTTAGCCTGTACTTAGTCCAATAGGAATATCTTATATCATCTAGGGAAATAGAAAAAGAGTGTTGCTGAGACAACAGAATACCATGGAAATAGAAGGATGGAATAGGATAAGAAGCTAGAGTAGTGACAATTTCAGAATAAGAAGTAGTTGTATTGCACCACTGCAAGTATTCCAGATCTCTAAAGAAGTAGATTTCATAGATGCCCTACATAATTCACAGAGCGAGGCAGCCCTTTCCTGAGGGTAATTCAGAGCAGAAGCCCAAGGTTGGTCAGAATCTGTCACATCTTTCTTCACTGATAATATGAAAAACGAGAGAAATCTTGCATGCGTGTTTACGTACCTTAATTAGTGTCTGAACGTAGCTATTTTCCTTCCTTTTCCCCCCACATACATCTAGTCCTCAAAAATCTGAGAGCAGACTTACTAATATTTTCCAGTCTATGGTTAGTAATACTCAGCTCTGTTAGTAATACTCAGCTCTGTTGAAAATCAGTTCTGGTCTGGGTGTATAACAACTTTAGAAAGAATATAACAAGTAAGCAGAAAGCCTATAAGGAATGGAGAAATAAAAGACTGATCAGCAAAGAGTGCTATACCTTAGAGGCCAGAAAGTATATGGATACAATGGGACTTATTAAATGTCAAGCTGAGTCAGATTTTATAAAAGAATTAAAACAAATAGTAAAGACTTTTCAACCATTTACTTATAAAATGAACCTGGAAAGATGTATAACTATGCAGGAACAGTAGAGTGCAGATTGAAGGTGATGTGGGTAAAATCCCTAAAAAAAAAATAATACTTGATCTCTGTTTCATTAAGGAACCATAGTGTTGGTAAGGGAAGCAAAACCAAAATTACTAATGGGAATGAGGTTATTGGAAATCACCAAATATGAAATGCAAATACAACTTCAAGTTTTATATAGTCAAACAGTGTCAAACAAAGGAGTCATTAGCGTAGAATATTGAAGGAATTGGGAAATTAAGCGGCAGATCTGGCAGTAGCAAGGATTTAAAACAATTTTATGAAGACAAAAGATATAACTTGAAAATAACAAAGGTAATAACCTCCACCTAAAAAAAAGAAAGCATAATATAGGTGACTATAGACCTAGTAATTGATCACATGCAAACCTTTATAACACACTGAAGTAAAGAATAGTAAAGATAGCAGGGGCAAATAGGAAATGAGAAGGAATGCATCATGACTTTACTAAAGATAGATTGTAAACCAGAGTTTATACTCTTTAGAAATATTTTTCGGTAAAAGAAGTGTAATGACATCTAATCTGTCTAAATTTCAGTACTAAATTTTATGTGCTTTATGGGAAATTATTAGGTAATAATAAGAAAGTAGAAAGTAGTAGTAAAAGGCAGAATTGTAAAGAGCTGGAGAAGGGAAAATGAATACGCTGATGAAATCTTGGTGCTACAAAGCTGAGAGTACTGTCAGGAGATTAAGAGGTTGTGAGATAAACTATATGAACTGGAGGAAAGCAATGAAAATTAATTATGTAACACAAAGCTTGAATACAATTAGGCATAAAACGAACTAAGTATTTGTGCTCTTAATTCTGGTATGGGTTCCTAAGTTCCTTCTATTTTTTGGGGGAAATTAAGAACTAAGTAGTAGCTAAGAATCTAAAAATTGTATTGGATGTCTTGTAATGATTTCTGCTACAAGAGTGCATCAGCTGGATATGACTAGGAAAAATACCTGAATTTGTTATATGATCACATGATAATTTTTGAGACAATAATGTGACAAGGCTGTGAGTAAAGTAATTGTGACCCCACAATCTGTGTATGCATTATCAGTGAAGACAGAAAAGAATTAATGCCACTATGGAGAAACAGTGATATTTCACTGGGAATGCTGTGTTCAGTTGTGGTCATCTCTGTCCAGAAGAACTAGTTCAAGCTGGAATAGCTGTAAAGAAGATATGATGACTGGGAATATGTCAAGTCTTTGTTGTGAAAAGATATTTACAAAACTTGGTGTATTCAAACTAGCAAATTAAATGCTCAAAATGGACACAGTTATGATCTGACAAATTAAAGAAAGCTTGGTCATCAAGGAGGGAAAAGAGTTATTTAAGCTAATAGACAGAGTCATAAAAACAAATGGTTTTCAGCAGTCCTTAATGTCATTCTGTGAAAATTAAAAGATTTTTGAGAAAGAAAGACTGCATTTTTAGCATAGCTCTCTTTTAGACTTAACTAAAAAGAAGGAAAGAAGCTTAATGTAGCTGCTTTTAAATTAGATCTTGACAACTTTGTCAGAGATTATACAGTATAGTTAACATGTAATAGCAGTGTATGATCCAACAGAGATAGTCCTTCCATTCTTCCTAGGCAGCTATGCATTGATAGTTCAAAGGCTTAGCATTTTGAGTACTTAAGGACTAAAAAGCTCCTGGATTATGTCACAGGGAATATGATAAATTTTCATTTTACTTCCAGTTTTTCATGGGTATAATTCTCTGTAGAGTAATGATTTTTAAAAATTAAAAATGTGGTTTTGATAGCCCTGAATTTTCAGTATATTCTATTAACATGAATGAACATGTTAAAGCTAGCTAAATCAGTGGGACTTTTTTGATGGGTACAATTCTCTGATCCTGAAAACTGTCTTGTTGATTGGAGGTTTAACTAAATATTCATTCAGGATAGCGTTACAAAAGTTACTAAGGAGCCTACTTGATGTCAATCTACAGTCCTTATGAGCTTTCAGATGACTACAAATCCATCTAGAATGTTTAAAAAACTTAAGTGCTTCAAACTAGACCTTTACATTGAACATGAGCTACTATTATTTTCAATGTAATTTTTCCTTCTTCTCCCCTCCCTGTAAAGTAAAACTGCTGGGTTTGAGAGTTTTCTGTGTCTCTAAAGCAAGCAAATCTATGTGCCGTTATATAGAACTATTTTTTATCTCTTGCCAAACGTCGCTTCTTTACAGATGAAGTGGATAAAGTTCTGTACTTTGCTGACATGATAATTTTGGTGATCTGTGATAAAAATAGCACATTTCGAGATCTGAACCAGTTTATCCTATCAACGTCTTGTTATAGAATATATGTAGCAAATTTTAACTTTCCATTTTAAGTAGCTCCTCAAAAAGTTAAATTGAAAAAAATACCCTCCCTCGACCAAAGGCAAACCTGATAACTAGTACTATCTATTAGAAAATAAAGTGCTGCTTTTGAGTGGTGAATAGTGATTAAAAAAACAATTAAAATGAACAGAGGAGACATCTATGAGGGGAAAAAATCAACAGATTGGCATGGCTCATCATACCTCTCTAATATGGAACTGGCAGTCTTATCTGCATAGTGCTACTGGACTGGTCCCTCTCTAAAGGGTTAGCTAGCATTACAGAGGGCTGGTGTCCAAATCTGCTTCTCACTAAATCAGTGATAAAGAGTGAACCTATTATGTGGCAATATTTTAGCTCAGTGCAAAGGTGGGAATGGATTGCTCGTCACTCGCTAATCCAACCTATTACAAATTGCTGTATTATTTTGGATATTCAATAAACCCATTAATTTTTATCTACTGTTTTGTTTCAACAGGGACTTGGGATGTCCTTGTCACAACTAGTGATATTTCTTCTAGTTACATGAATCCTAAAATGTTTCTAACTGTTTGTGATGAAAAAGGTACCTGTACTTCAGTCACACTGCCCAAAGGATCCCTTAAAAAAAAGCAGATCTATGAGACTTCAATTGAACTAAGTAAGAAATTCAATACTATATTCAAAGTCCGCCTAGAAATTGAAGAAGATGGAGAAGGAGAAACTTGGCATTGCCATGAGGTAAAAAATAAAAGCTAAAGCAATTACAGATTGTGTATTTATGGTAAAATTCTCCTGTTTTTCATATTGGATGGTTACTGCTTCCAATATCCAGTTCTGTCTGAAATTATGTAATTTTTAATTTACAAAAGCAAGTGCATCTGGTAACAACACTCGTAGAGTGATAACTTAAGAGAGTGCTCAAAATGCTTGTTAGGATAGCTATATAGGATATAGAGGATAGTTATAGGATAACAAAAATGTTGTAAATTTAGGTGGGTGTTTGGAGGGCATATATATAGATGTACCATCAGTAGTCTCTTTTCAGAACGGTAGCCACTGGCACACATTGCAGGATTTACGTAACTACAAATCAGCTGTTACATGTTGTAGACCCAATGATCCAGGACAAATAATTATGCCAGACACTAGGAATGCCTTTTGATGAAAATATCTGCCTTTTAAGTTAGCATGTGGAAAAAAAAAAAAAAAAAGTGAATAATTGACAATCTTTCTTCTGATGTCCAGGATGCTGAAGCTGAAATCTGACGTTGCACTGAAATTGCTGTGGCACTTCACATACAAAAAAGATTTTCATCCTCTTATGCTGGCAAAATAAAAAGAAGTCTAAGGGAAAGAATAATCTTTTTTTCAAATTACAGACACACTTTTGCCCATTAATGTTTGTATTTTTTTCTCATTAAACACTGGAGAATGTGTTTATTGGAGAAAAAAAATAATTTTCCTGTCCAGTACAAGATGTTAGTGAGCAGAACCCCCTGACATTTAACTGGTAGGCAGATGAAATAGTCATCTAACCAATCTCTTGATAAAATTTAGACTGCTTCTTGGATATTGTAGGATACAGTGGATCACACTAAAAATTTCAGTATGGAAACTTGGCAGTTGAAAACAGTGACACCTATTAACCTGCTTTGCATCATTAGCTCAGAACAATGACTCAAAGCTGAGTTAGGAGAAAATCGTTATCATTTATATAGATAAAGAAAGGATGCACATTTACATTAGGTAGGATTAGAAAGAGAAAGGAAATACAATTTTCATTGCTTTGGAGTATATGCAAATTATTGGGGTTTTACAAAGACATTTTCTCTGTTATGCCACGGATTTTGTAGCATGACTGATTGAATCCTTGTGTGAAATAGCTAGGTTGGTATAAGAGGTTGCAGATAATATCTGTTATTAAAGACAGGTTACCAATCGATTTACACTGCTGGTTAGAACCAGGATGGTAATTTCTATGGTATTTTATTTTGACTTTACAAGATTGCACTTCACAGAATCCGAGATTTCCCCCTGCTATCACAAGTAAGTGCAGGTGTAGTCGGTTGAATTCCATATTTAGATTCCATATTTAGATTCAGAATTCACTTTTATAACTGTAACTGCAAAATCATTCTCTTGATGTTTTTGAGGAAAATGGAAATAATTATAAAATAATGTCCAGAACAAAATTAATTAAGATTTGCTTTATTTCTGGAGTATATAATAGCTAATATCTTTATTCTTGTTTCTTTCACTTCTTGAAGAAATAAAGCACAGTAAATGAAATCTGATTTTCAAGAAACTGTTCAGGAATGTAAATGATAGTATAAAAGGGAAAGTATATCAATATTATACTTTCCACTTAATTTAAAAAAATCTTTTCAATGTTTCTGTCATAACAAAAAATAATTGTCTTTTGAAGACAAAAATAATGTTATCATGTCCCAGTGACAACTGCTAACCAAAGATGGTTGAGCTTACTGAGTTAAGGGTTTGGTTATTTTGGTGAGTTAGGTCATGAAGAAATAAGTGAGTGAATTTTCTGTGCCCTGTTCAAAGCATGGTTACTTCCTGCAACATATTTTCAAATATGTTATCAAGTGTAGCTTTAAAAAGTTTAGAAAATGGGACTTAATATCTCAGTGTAGCTGGTAGTACCATAGTGTAAGACATGCCATTATTAAAATATGTTTTCTTATAGTAAGACTAAGCTACTTAGCTCAGGATCACTCTTTTATTACTTTACATACAGAATTTCATAGAGATTAAAAATGTTTAGTAACACACTGTATATATTCATGTGATATGTATGTACAGATATATATGCACACCATAAAACATTCTTAATTTGTTTTTCAGTTTTTCCCAGAAACACTTATCTTTCATTCTCTTGTTACTTAGAATGAGAAAACATTCTGCACTGAAAAATGTTGTGGCATATTGACATTTCTCTGAAGCTGAAATGGGCATATCAACACTTCTTTTTCTTCCATATGCTGGATGAATAGGTTACATTTGAACCATTGCAAATATATTTTTCCCTTACTACAGTCTCTACAGCAATAATGCTGACAACATTTTAATTGTAGAGAGGTGGGGGTCGATCTGTTCAACCAAGTAACAAATGATAGGACAAGAGGAAATGGCCTTAAGTTCCACCAAAGGAAGTTTAGATTGGATATTAGGAAGAATTTCTTTACTGAAAGGGTTATCAGATATTGGAACAGGTTGCCCAGGATGCTGGTGGAGTCCCCATCCCTAGAGGTATTTAAGAGCCGTGTAGACATAGTGCTTAGGGACATGGTTTAGCTGGGGATTTGTCAGTGTGAAGTTAACAACTGGACTTGATAATCTTAAATCTTGATAATCTTTTCCAATCGAGGCAATCCTGTGTGAAAGTTATTCTGTTTTAATTATTTTTAATTGGGAAAAATATATGCTCCTTCTCTTTTAAAAGTATGCTTTAAAAAAAAAACCAAAAACATTTTAGAAAAATTTAGTTGTTCTTTTTAATGTTGAGATTATGTGTCATAGCTGCTTAATAGTATGTCTTTTGCTATAACTTCCATTAGAGCACAACAGATGCTGAAGGTATTTTTTTTTGCTCTTTGCTAAGGTAAAGCTTCAACACAGAGAAAGTAAAAATGTTCTAGAATTTCCATTTCATCACAACTTTGCAGATGAAGAAGGAGGAAGAGTGGCTGAGCTTCCAGTTCTCACAGCTGGCTCTCCTTTTCCAGCAGGTTTGTCACAAATCAGAAACACTGGAAAAGATTTGGTCAGTTGTGATGGCTAAGATTTTCAGAGGAGTGCAAGGGATTTAGTAGATATTTTCTATTCATTTTAGCTAGTGATGCATGGCTAGGTCCAATCCACTTCAGTGTTTTAAAAAAAAACCATCTCAGTCCCTGTAACTGAGCATTGTGTATTCAAGTCTGATTGATATCAGTTTATGACACATAAAAGAGCAAGCATACAGCACTGAAAATAGTACAAAAGTTTTGAACAGTACTTAGAGTTCAGATTTTTCTCAATAATATGATTTGGTTCTCTCCCAGAGGAAACAAAGGAAATCCAGAGGAAATAACTCTTGTAGTATAAAACCTCACAACAGAAGCTCATCTGTTTGTGTTCCTAGAATTTCAGGCATTCTTCTTCTTCTGTGACCTAGCAGTTATATGTCATGAAAATCCTTCATGCGGGTTGTGCCTTGGTCACCTCAAGACTGGATATTTTTTTAGTTTACTCTGTGTTTCTTAAGAGGTTTTATAACCAAAATCAGTGAAGAATGCAAGAGTTCTTGTCCTAAATGGATATTCCACTTCAAGAATATTCCAGTCTTCTCCAAGTGTTTCCCAGGAGCTGAGTTTAGAACAATAGCCCAAGTAATCTGAGCTTGCCTTGCCTTTTCAGCTGTGCTTCCCAAGCTAGTCTCAATAAAAGCACTTGGGCAGAAGGTCCTTGAATATGAATTTGAGAAGAGTACTGCTGTGAGGCATTCCCTGAGAAAGCTTTTTGTCTTTTAAATACTTTTTTTTTTTTTCTTCTGTAGGAGCACAGATATTTAAACCTCTACAAATCCTCCTCCTCTTTCTGTTGGAGCGTTTAACATGAGGGCAGATACTGTTTTCTTTATCTTCTCCCCATATTTATTTTCTCGATTGAATGTTTTGGTGATGTGGCTTCTTTCTTATTTTGGGGGCCGGATCACCAGTGTGTTACACATTTCTCTGAAAGTACAAACAGGTACTTAACATAAACAGTCATCTAAGAAATGCCCAGCAGAAGAGCTGTAAGTAAGGCAACATGTCAGAGAATACACAACATTTCTTGAAATCCTCTGCTGCGGCCAATAACTGCAATTGTTGGCGTGTGGAGCGTCCAGCCACTGACTGGACCATGATCCAGAGGAAGTACAAAAGTTGCCATCTTTCTGACAGAGTTCAGCTTCATATGAACTCCTTAAGGCTCAGAGCAGCGATGTGCTTTTTGAGTAATTTAGAATCGTCCATAGCCTAGGAACTCTTTCACAGGAGTGTTACATATTTAAATGCATGCAAGTGTGTGGTAGAGCAACATTTACATGTTTTTATACCAATTTGTGATGTGGTTATTTTTCTTTCATTTTCTCTTCTTCCCGTGTTTCAGGCCCACTCACAAACTATTTCGCTTATTATTCCTTATAATAGTGGTTCTTAAATGTTTATTACAATGCTTCTATGTACTTTTTTAAGCATTATAATATTATTTGGCTTTTTGATTACTCTGGGCAGGACCAAAAAAGAAAATATAATAGTAGCAATTTATTGAATAACATGTTTTTTAACTGATTAAGCTTTGATAAACCTTTGATCTCTCCTTGCCAACAGTGAAAAGCTATGTTCTGTATGTCACCACTGGAGCATCCCCTGGGTCAGGAACAGATGCAGATGTTTACGTCATGCTGCAAGGTCTTTTAGGAGATACTGGTAGAAGAAAGCTAATCAGAAAAGGAGATGATGATTTCACTAAAGGAAAGGTATGCTTACTATTTCTGCATATTTTGCACTTTTAGAACCCAGTCCAGTGGAACAACCCAGACTAAATGGAAGTAGTTTAGAGTCTATGCAGTCCAGTTTGTGATGCTCTGTGATTGTAAATGCATGTATCTGTGGATATCTCTATCTATCTTATGTGGGAGATACTGATGCTTATGCAGCTGACGTTAACAATATGGATAAATATAAATATAATATAAAAAAATATAATAAAGTGACTATATTAAGTGCTTTTAGCTTCCATTTGCCAATATTGAATGTCTTCAGTGACATGTGAGTGGTTTTCCTGCATATTTGCTTCACTATAGACACCATGTCCTTTAATGCCTCCTTTCTTCCCATGCCACTCTTCAGGCTAAGGCTCCTTTCCCTGGCTTTTGCCTTTCCACTGCCAGTTTGCCCTTCAGTCTGGCTCTTGATCTCTCTCCAGACAGTCAGTCACTACTGTCCGTAGTTTTCTTAGGTCTACCAAGGGAGTCATTCACTCACTGTACAGGAGTGAGTCTCAAAGCTCATAGACATAGACCAAAGACCAACATAGCTGACAGAGATGCATTTGTCTGTGGTCTTGTCAGTATAAACAGAAATTAGAGAGAATTTAGTTACTGAATGTGCTACAGAAATGTGGGCAGATTTACAGCAAAATGCATGTCTTTTACATAAAGTGTAGTACCTGTTGGAAGGTCTGAATAGAGGGAGTGAAATTTTCAGATAAAAAGGTCAGTATATTTTTTATACGTGGAATAAACAAAGTATTTTCTGTAGATCTTTTTTTGAAAACAAATTTGAGGATTAAATCAACTTAATAAGGATTCTGAAACAAATGTCTGTTATAGAAAATTTTAGTTGGAATAGTTAAAGTTTAGAAAAAGAAACGCCAGTGTCTCACAACCAGAAATGCTGAGCATATTTTACAATAGACAGTGCTACGTGTCTTCCTTGTACTGTGTGCGCTCTTCTACTTTTCTGAAACCTCAGTGAACACTGTGATTATGGTATTCTAACCTGTCCCTTTTTTGGAAATACCATGCCACAAGCTATTTCCTTCTCCTGGTTTTGGCTGCCAAATGGATTTCTCTAAGGAAGCAAGCTTGCTTTGATTGATAACCAAAGCAGAGGTATGATATGTGGGACTAGGAGGAACTCATCTCCTAACTACCCCCAGTCTCATGAATTCAGTGGGAGTTGAAGGAGGTCATTATCTTACTGGGTTTTACCTACTTGAAATGCTTATTCCTAAGAAAAGTGAGAGAGCTTAAATCTTTATTTTTAAGACAGTAAATACTTATGGATGAGGGTACTCAGTTTTGATAAAGACACATTTGTCTTCCCTAATGTTGAAATTTAGATTATGATTTATTGATAAACTCATTTAATTGGATTTTAGAGCTGCAGTCCTTTTATCTTCATGAAGTAAAGTTAGTTTATTGTAAGTTTTACTGGATTTCTCCTTAAATCATAGTTTCATAAATAAGCACTCTGATTTCTAGACTGGTAGTTTTTAATGAAGAAGGACCAGTGGTGCACATCCAGAAAAGTTGCCTAAGAGAACAGAAATGAACTCCAAAGATTCCTAACCTGAAGAGTGTTTTTATAGTATTTGTGTTTACTTCAGTGTGGCACAGAATGCTTCTGTTTTACAGAGTAAGAGGCAGAGCTGGCATATACCTGTCTCTTCATTAATTATTTGACAATTTATAGGAGCAGGGTGTGAATGTAACACAGTATCTATATATTTCTAAAAGTACATATAAGCATAGGAATATTTCAGGGCCCTAAGTAGAAATTATTTGGAGATAAGTAATAGAGAAACACAGAAAACTCTTGATTCTCTCCTTGTTCAGTGAAAATAAAGTAAAGGTATTTGGTTAATTGACAAAGTGTAAATTGATTCTGCAAGAAAGACTCCTGCCTTTGCAGCAACATTTTGTTCATGACATGTTTTGGAAATTTCACAATGTTTTCTTCCCTTTATAAGTAATCTTCAAAAAGACTCTCAAGTGTAGAACATATCTTTCTATACCAGTCCAACCACATATTGTGCCAAGCACCCCTGTGGTCAGAGAATCTGGACTCAGTGGTTTAGGGGATTTTGGAGTATAACAGACACAGAATTTGCATTCTGAATCTGAACAGTTGTTCTGACATTTTAAAATGTGCTTTTCCTTGCAATAATTTTCCCCCTGACTATACAGTAACAGCTAGTGAACTGGAACAGTGTTTCTGTTAGAAATCACATCAAAATATGGTGCTAGTCTCACAGAATGTCAGGGATACTACAAACAACAGTTTAGCAATGCAGAAATACATAGAAATATTTAAATATGCAGGGGACTTTGCAGTAGATTGGAGATATGCTTCTTTCATTTAACAGGTCTTTTATTTACATAAGCTGAGATACATGATTGTATTGGGT